TTTTGTACAGCAGCGCCCCTCATAAAACATCACTAAGGCCTAATTGCGATTGCCAACCCTCCTGCCAAGCGTAGCAACTACTGCACAACCCCTCTTATATATAGACACGTTTACCATAGATTATTATTTACAGAATGACTCATTAAAAAGGAATCGTGAGATCCCATAAACAAGATGATGTAACAAAACGCGGTCGTAAATTTTCACTGATTTTTTATGACTCTTTGACGAGATATCTTTCGAAGTGTCGAAAAGTATTTTAACTATTATCCTCTCATAATTTTTTAACTATTTAATAATTAAAAATATTATTAAAACTAGCGACTTGCCCCGACTTTTACCGATTTTTTTTAAAATAACATACCATGATACTGTAATTTTTTTATAAGTAAATGAATTATTAAAAACAAAAAAATAAAATAAAGATAAAGAGTTTTTAGATTTATCCGTTACAATAAAATAAATTAAAGCTTCCTTTAGATATGAAAATTATGATTTTTTTATTAAGTGATTCAAAAAAAATTAAATCCAATCATTATTTTGACTGAATTCTTTTGAGTTTAAACGATTTGAACTCCATGTTTAAAACAATTTCAAAATGAAGGACTACATCACTTAAAATTTTAATGAATCATTAAAATGAGTTCACAAATAACGGAATATACTAAAATTGAGAATATCCTTTTTGGAGCCCGTTGAAAAAACCATCGTAAAATCGGTCAAAGGGAACAATATCAAAGCAGAGTACATAGAATAAATTTGCCATTCCATACAATTTACGAGTATTGTAATTGATGGATGGATCGTAAAGCGGTTTTATAACGCCATTACGACGCCATTACCTGCTGGACTATTGTGTAAACAAAACATTATATCCCTTGTAGTAGGTCCTTATAGAGCGTGGACTCTTTGGTCGCGATGTACCTAATCCTAACTATTGTTACAATGAAATATTATATATATATATATATATATATATATATATATATATATATATATATATATATATATATATATATATACATATATATATATATATATATATATATATATATATATATATTCTTTATTGCACTTGTAAATTAGATTATTAATGCATTTATAAATATTGTGAGCAAGGGTGGAGTTATCTCTGACAGAGATCTCTTCCAGTCAACCCAATGCAGTTAGAAAGCATGTCGTTAGCGGGCAGCTAAAGTGCTACAACTATTAATATTTAGTGTACATAAACAAATATACAGTTAAATAAAATATTAAAATATATAATAAAATATTACATAAATACATATACTATAAATAAATATAATAGCTACCTACTTATACAATGGATGTTAAAATAAATGAATATACTACCTACAATAGAAATTTATTATGTCCCAAAAAAGAAACCTATTTCGATTGTGGCAAAATCAATTCATCATCATCATTATATTAGCCTTTAACTTTCCAATTTGCAGTAGTTCTTATTATTCATAACCAATTATTTTGTATTTTTTTTTATGCAACTTAGAATGGCAAACAAGCTGACGGCTCACCTGATGGAAAGTGGTCACCGACCGTGGAGTATTTTTCTTTTTACAAAGCCGGTAGCACACCTTAATGCCTTTAATGTTGCGGGTGCTCATGGACGGCAGTAGTCACTTATCATCAGGTGAGTCGCATGCTCGTTGCTCGTTGCTCGCTGGTCGTTTGTCCCATGTCATAAAAAAATATCATACGTACATGTGGACCAAATTTTATATTATTTTTAAATGGTAACCAAAAAAACTCACTTTTGTATTTATCAATCAACTTTAAATAGAAAGAGATTCTCCATTCGTTTGTTTTTTTTTTATGTCATAACATAACAATAACATAATAACTTATAAATCTGTCAGTTGTAAACCGATTTGGGAAATTCTTTTTTTTATCTTAATCTAAATCAATAATATCAACCAGAGGGAGAATTTGTACAAAAGTCGATTGCTTGGGTACCTCTGTTCCATTCGTGTTTCTACCGTGAAGCAGTTGTGTTTGCATGGCTGTGTTTCGGTTTGAAGGGTGGGATATGGCGTGAATTTACTGGGTACAGTCCTCAGGAATGGCAACGCATGGGGGGTATTATGGGCGAAACAGTATACTCTGTTATGTCCATGGTACTGCTCATGTCTCTAGGCGATGGTTACCACTTTACATCAGGTGGGCCGTCAGCTTGTTTGCCATTCTAAGTTGTATAAAAAGAAAAAAAATATTTATCATTGAAATATATTAATTCGATAAACATTATTATTACATAGCTTTAATTAACATAATATATTTTAACTTACGAAATTTTTTAATTCGGGCCAAATTAAAAGTACCCGTAACCGACGAGCGTGTATGACAAGATTGATGAATGTGGAAGAAGCGAAAGAGGTTTGTTTGAATCGAAGCATTTGGCGTTCCATTGTTTCTGCCTACCCTAATGGGAGACAGGCGTGACAGATATGTATGTATGTATGTATGAAATTTTTTATATTAAACATATCTCTCTAGTGATGGAATTTTATCTAATGCAAGTTTATTCTGTAACTTTTTAAAATAAATATTTACACACCAGTGCACAAGCATGCAGCATTCTGATGGGCAATAAACCAAGCTTTTTAAATTCTCTCTTACAAGTATCACGAGGCAAAAGACCATTTATTGATCTAACACATTTTTTTAACATGAACGGTTCTATTTTTAGGAGTCAAGTCTTGGGAACGGCATTCGGGAAACTACGCCATATCTTTTCATCCAAAACACCTTAAAGTTAAACTTTACGAACTTTTACTAGACGAAGGTCTAAAGCCAGTGCGTGTTGTTCTACACGGTTACCGGTATTCTTATTCTTTTCATTTAAGAGTTTCCTCTTGTCGGTGCAACTAATTCATGCATCTTCCTCCAGCCAGCTCTATCCCAGGCCATATCCTTTATCTCCCTATACGATATGACGCCTAGTGTTTCCTTTATCTGTCCCATGTAGTTATACCGGTATTCAAAAGCTTCAAATTACTCAGCGAGCTATGGTGAGGGCTATGTTCGGACTTTCTTTGCGTGATAGAATCTGATACGAGGTTATCTGCAAAAAAACAAAGTAACCGAATAGACCGAAGGATAAGAAAGCTGAATTGGCAATGGGCTGGTCAAATAACTCGAAGAACCGACAACCGATGGGGAAGAAAGATTAAATAAGTAGCGACCCCGTACAGGCAAACGTAGTGTAGAACAACCCTCCACTAGATGGAGTGATAAGTGGCTCATGATCTAACAATATTAAACTATAAATATAAACCTTCCTCTTGAACCACTCTATCTATGATGAAAACCGCATTAAAACGCGTTGCGTAGTTTAAAAGATTTAATCGTACAGACGGCGGTAAGCGACATTGTTTTATACTATGTAGAAATAACTGCAGCTAAACAGCCGTACTTGTATCGCTGTTTCAATTTGGAGTGTTGGATATTGCTCTACCTTTATTTATACCACTGAGGTGATAAACAAGCATACAGCCCGCCTGTAACCGGCGAGCGTGTATGACAAGATTGATGAATGTGGAAGAAGCGAAAGAGGTTTGTTTGAATCGAAGCATTTGGCGTTCCATTGTTTCTGCCTACCCTAATGGGAGACAGGCGTGACAGATATGTATGTATGTATGTACAGCCCGCCTGATCTAAAGCGGTTACGACAGTTTATGAACGTCTGTAATACCAGGGGCATTACCCGCGTGTTGCCGACCTCTTCACTCATTTTTTTAGAATCTATTTAAATAATCTATCTGATAAATCAAATCTAAATATATCAAAATAATTAACATATTATCTGTTACAACTATGTAAACACTTATTGAATTCAATAGAAACTGAATAATTTTCACACTTTGTACAAAAGTCGATTGCTTGGGTACCTCTATCCCATTCGTGTTTCAACCGTGAAACAATTGTGTTTGCATGGTTGTGTTTCGGTTTGACGGGTGGGATATGGCGTGAATTTACTGGGTACAAAGGAATAACACCCAAATCCTCAGGAATGGCAACGTATGGGGGGTATCATGGGCGAAACAGTATACTTTGTTATCTCCATGGTACTGCTCATATCTATAGGCGACGGTTACCAATTTCCATCAGGTGGGCCGTCAGCTTGTTTGTCATTCTAAGTTGTATAAAAAAAAATCTTAAGAAGTAAAACTTTAGGCTGAGACTGGGACCATCCCCTCTGCAAGAATAAAATTTTCAATAACTAGGTAGGTATAAGCTATTAAATCATTGATTCGTGAGTTAATGTTACTTAGTTACCATATCCACTTTTACTGTCTTAATGGGTACCTACTTGTCACAGAAATAAAATTGTTATGACTCAAGGAAATCCTTATTAATATTTATAAATGTGAGAGTGAGTTTGTTTATTTATTATTATCTAGTGACTTGATGGATTAACCAATCATTACGACATTTAATATACATGAATTATATAGGATGGAGTAGAATGTAGGCTACTTTTTATCTTGCACCAGAAATCGCAGGTAAAAGTTTAAAAGCCGAATAAATTAAAGATAATACATTAGACTGAAACCTTTAGTTATTCGTATTTAGGAGTTCTAAGTTTATAAAACTGCCATCTATAGGCTGCTTTTTTATTGTAAGTTTTATTTTATAGCGCCATCTTCATAATAACTGATGAACTATTTTTGTCTTACCACAAACAAACTTTGTTTCTATTATTTTTCTAGTATAGAAAAGCAGATTATAAATAATTGTTTTACTGTCATTTTAAAGCAAAGCCATCGTTATCTCTTTCTAACAGGATAAATTAGAAAAAGTATGCAATATGTAGATTACAAAGAATTAATTAAAAAAATGAAAATTTAAAGCAATTAAATACAATTTAAATTGAATTATAAATTTCATAATATTTTTAAATGAAATAAGTCACTAAAATTATTGTATAAAATATTTCTTTATAGTGATCTCTGTTTTGTCTATGTCTCACTCTATTATTTTTTGCGCCTGCGCACTTGATGGTCTACGCGACATAACTAAAATCATTTTGTGGAAAATTTAAAGTTTGTTGTTTATTAGTGACAACCTATAATTCATAATTATTTATGAAAGCGTCGTGCTAATTACCATTCCAGGCGCTAGGCTGACTTATTCAATATCGGTCAGCCTGGATGCGTTCAGCCACTATTATTTTGTTCGAGCGGTGTACGGTAGCCATCTTGGAATCGAACAAAGCTTCAGATGTGTAGTTTGTCTGTTTATCAATAATTTTTGTGCATTTTCTTGTAAATAGTTTGTATGTTTAGGATATGTACGGAACGTTCGTCCACATGTGTAAATAGCTATGGCTGCGACAAGGAAATTACAAGGTAACTTGTCATGTTATCAGGTTAGATTGACCCCAACCGATGTAGTTGCGTGTTCTGGAGCGCGATACGTTGTTGTCTTTAAAAACACATCACTGTTATTTGTCTTATTGAGAGCAACAAATAATCTACAAACACTAGATATCATCTATTAGTTTTAATTGGATAATATTAAAATTGTAATAAGAATCTGTTGAACAGTCTGTTTGCACGTTGATGCTGACTCGAAAGTTTTACTACCCTTTTGTACGATTATTACAAAACTTATTGGATTTTCTACTACGATTAGGAAAAGCCGGTTGCTTGTTAATTCATGTTATTGTTGACAGATACAAAGTTGTTATTTCAAGAATATGTCATGTAAACAGGTTTTATTAAGAATATCAATCTTGCTTACAGGTGAAATAGACAGGTGTTTAAAAAAGGTAACGGAAGGGGTGGAGACGTTTGAGGACATCTGGCAAAAGGTACACAATGCGACGAACAGTAATCAGAAGGAGAAGTATGAGGCGGACCTCAAAAAGGAGATTAAGAAGCTCCAGAGGCTACGAGATCAGATCAAGTCGTGGATCGCCTCCGGAGAAATTAAGGATAAGAGTACACTTTTAGAATATAGGAAACTAATTGAAACAGTAAGTTTTTTATATTCCAATTTTAAAATATTTAAGTATATGATTGACTTTCAAAAACTAATTTAAATATGAAATAATGAATATTTATTTAGACATTATATTTATTTAAATAGACTTGTTTACAAGCCTTTTAAATATACACTTTTATGATTGTTCCGTAGGTTCAGAATGTTATTTATTGAGTAGAATCTACAAAAAAACTTAGCTGTGACTCTTTCTCACACATCTAAAAATCTTTATAAACTTTCTCATCCTGTTATCCTGTTAATATAATAAATGTGGAAGTTTGTTATTATAGATGGATGTTTGTTACTCTGTCACACAAACACTACTGAATGGATTTGAATGAAAATTAGTACACAGGTAGATTATATCCTAACTTAACATAAAGTATACCTTATATACTAATACACATGAGTGAAGCCACAGGATACAGCTAGTTTACAATGTTAGAATTCAGAAATATTATAACTTCAAAAACAATGTGTAGTTATGACATAATAACCTTGCTTTATTTTTATTAATTGAACATATGTTTTTCTGTTTGTTTATTAAATATGTTTTTTGTATATATTTAAAGAGGTTATTCATTATTAATTTGTTAAAGCAGAATCTACCTCTACTAGTACATAATTCTCATATTACTATAGATACTATAGTACTTTGAAGATAAATTATAATATAATCTGTTTTTTTTATTATTAATAAATAATCTTAGATCTTTTTCTTATCAACAGTATATAAATAAACAGCTAATTAAATTAAAATGGATTTTCTATTTTATGAATTAATACATATTATCACTTTTGTCTGTTTTACTTTTTAAAATAACTCAATTGGATTATGCTAGTTATAAATCTATTATTAAATTCACATCTTGTTACCATCGGGGTAAATAGAGCTTGCATAGTCAGCAGTTTCTAACCTAATTTTTCTTTGAGCATAACAATCTTTTCATGTAAATAACCTTGTTTTTACATGTTGTTTTTGTTTATTATAAGACAGAATGTTAGAATCATAAAAAGTTGATTATTTAAAAGAGTTTGTAAACAAGTTAATTTAAATAAAAATAACTTCTATACTAGTAGTGATTTCTGGCTTTGTTAGTCAATTAGAATAAAATTACCCATGTGTTAGTGTATGATATGGTCTGTCAGTCAACCAAATCACATTCAAATCTGTTCAGTTATATGAATTCAGATATGTAATGGTGTACAATTAAAATATATTTACAACTTTCATATTATAATATTAGTAAGATATAATAAAAAACAAAATCTAATAGCAATAATGTTGTTTATAACATTTTATTGTACAAGAAAGTTTTAAATTATAAGATACAGAGTTATTAAGAAAAGAAAGATTATAATGGCGAATTATTCCCATAAAAAGGATTTATCTCAGTCAACCATTGAATGAAATTGTGAATTGGAGATACAAAAATAATAGCTAATTAAAAAAATGGGAAAGTAATAGTTATATAATAAAACAAGAGATATTATTACTAGATACTAAATTATAATTATTAATCATAGTTGATAAACCAAGAGTTGCATACATACATACATATCTGTCACACCTGTCTCCCATTAGGGTAGGCAGAAACAATGGAACACCAAATACTTTGATTCAAACAAACCTCTTTCGGTTTTTCCTCATTCATTAATGTGGTATTAATCTCGGCCCTATAAATTAATCTAATGTGTGAATAAAAAAATGCAGATTTAATGTTTATAAAACGAATGTAGTATGTATTTGATATTTGTTGTATAATGTAAGCTAGTCTCTGAATTAATCAATAAATTTTATATGATTTTAATTTTCATAAATCATCCAAATGAATTAAGAAGTTGTTTTTTTTTTTTGTAGTAAATATTGTTTAAATTTAGATAGCAGCTTACACTATAACAATACATTTCAAAAACATTGAGGCCAAAATTTTCATAATATTATGTAGATACAAATCAACAGAAAACAAAATGTCAAATCTGACACCAAATTTCTCTACATTCAGTAAGAGATTGCCGAATATTGATTGCTTGTATTTGAATAGCTTGACCACAGATAAAATTATTCATTTTATGCTTGAAATGACATAAACTGATGGTGGACCAGATTAAAAGTAAAATTTTTTTTTATCAACTTGTAATGACAAACAAGTTGGCAATCCACCTGATGGATAATAATTACTGTCAGCGAGACGTGAAGTACCATGGACATAACAAAAGTAAACTGTGTTCACCCACCATACCCTTTGTGCATTGGCATCATAATTTTATTGCCATATCCCACCCTTCTAATCAAAACACAGCTATGCAAACAACTGCTCACGGCAGAAACACGAACGGGGCAAAGATACCCAAGTAGACAATTTTTGTACAAAGTCTCCCTTTGGTAACTATTGTCTATAGATATGAATAACATGTCTTTTAAAAGGGTGATAATGAAATGGTAACTTTGCCTGCACTAACGGTATACGCTGGCGGGGCACCAGTGAGGGATGATAGGTGAGGATGAAAGCAGGTCAGTTAGTACATCGTGAAGAATTCCACAAGAAGTAACTAAGAAATAAGTGGAGGTCGCCCTGATTTTTTTTTTTTGATGGGTGTAAATAATATGGTAGCCCCGCCTGCGCTAATGAAATACGCTGGCGGAGCGATGGTTTCCAGTGAGGAAATAATAGTTTCGTGGAGGGTATATCCTGATTAGTAACATTGTTAGCAATGGGCCTGTTAGACTCCATCACTATCAATCCCTTTCCCCCCGTGTAGGATGTAGGATGACTCGGGCAGGATGAATAACAAAATAAACAACAAATTGTACTGTGATAGGTGATTATTAATATACATAATATTTATAATATGTGCATGTAGAGATATGTGACGTCAAGTTATCTTAATGATTGCACATTACCTATCTGTATTATCAGTTAACTGCTTGGGACACTTCTTTCCCCAAAGTTACAAAACATAACCATTAACTAATAATATATATATGGAGCTGATAAACTTATCATTGCATTCATTACTGTTATATTTACCTTGCATCTTAGAATGGTAGACTTACTATGCAACTTGTTTTATCAAGCTTCTTTTAGAACTATCAATTAACGTAGATGGAATTTTATGTCTTGTTGGTTAGTCAATAAGGACTATTTTGTATACAATAAAAGCTTATTCACGCTTCCTTTATTCGCGGTTTAAAAAATTTCTACCCAATTCCTATATTCGCGGCTAGTTTTCTATTTTCGCAGATCTAATCGGTACATATTATTAAAAAGGATTATCTATTTGTAAACGCGTTGGCAAATGGACTAATAAAAAAAGTAAAACAGACTTTATTACAATTACGCCTAAAGTACGTTGTCAAATGTTAACGCCACTGTATAAGTGTTTCGGTTGTCCATATTCACGGTTTCTGTATTCGCGGCATATTTACTGTACGTATACCACGCAAATAAAGAGCTTTTACTGTATTTCTTTTCACTCAGGATTTTATTAATGGGATTAGGGTACACTTACAGACTGGATTTTTTTTTTATATAACTTAGAATGGCAAACAAGCTGACTGCTCACCTGATGGAAAGTGGTAACCGTCGCCTATACACATGAGCAGTACCATGGAAATAACAGAGTATACTGTTTCGCCCATGATACCCCCCATGCGTTGCCATTGCTGAGGACTCAGGTGTTATTCCTCTGTACCTATTAAATTCACGCCATATCCCACTCTTCAAACCGAAACACAGCCATGCAAACACAAATGCTTCACGGTTGAAACACGAATGGGACAGAGGTACCTAAGTAAAAAGTGGCCTATGTCCTTCTTCATTCCGTATAGTATGTCTATACTAAATATGATAGTAATTGGTTAAGCTATTAAGGTGCTATGAGGTAACAAACAAACTTGACTATCACATACATTATAGTACCCTTAAAAGCCTGATTTTTTTTAAATCAAATTAAAAAATATATAAGTGTACCCTTTACTGTGTTTACTAATGGGGAAAAATAGTAAAAAAAAAATCAAAACGATGTTTTTATATATAATATTTATTTTGAAAAAAAAAATTGGTTACATGTAAACAGCCAAATATTAAAATAAAATCGATTGTAGGCACCCAATGCGATTTGTAATCCCGGTATCAAATTTGAAACTTCAGGTATTTAAGGGTTAACAAGTATTTATTATAAATTGAGGCGTAGCTCTGCAGTTGCAACATGAAGTCGGTTAAAAATACACTAAAATTATTTTTATGTTATGTTTTTAGTGGCGATCTGTCTCTCTCTTGTATATGATTAATGTTATTACTGAGAGAAATACTAATTCAAAATTGTCATTTAGAAATATGCAAAACTGATTAATTTTGAAAGACAGGTAGCTGGCAGGTAGACACTAACATGCATCAAAGACAGTCGATGACAATTTTCAGTAGTATGATGTATTTAAAAACGTTTTACCTAATTTATTATCTATACTAATATTATACAGAGGAAAGAATTAAATTTTTGTATGTTTGTTTATAATGTATAAACTGTATGTGGCTCAGGACCCTTCCTTATGGCAGTCTATGGGAGAGACCTATGTTCAGCAGTGGACAGATAATGGCTGAGGTGATGATGGTGATGATTAATGGATAAACTAAAAAGTTACTCAACTAATTTTAAAAAATCACTTATACAAAGTTAAGTACATTATCAGCATAGGCTATATATTATTTTAAAAAATTTAATAAATCTCTAAATATTACAATAATGTTACGCAAAGTATAAAAAATTGCCTATTGAAGCCAATATAAAGTACTAATTTACCTTCTATCTACCTGTGGAAAGCCGGGGCGAATTACTAGTGCGAATATGTGATTAATCATGATTAATAGATACAACATAATCAATGTTATTTCCTATGTCATATGTTTTAATTTAATAATAATAATAAAAGAAGTGAAGGGTGGTTTGTTTGATCATCTCTTGGCGCTGCAACGGCTCATTGAATCGTCATAATATTGACATTCGTGTGCTATAGTTAAGGACAGGGCCTAGATTTTGTCCTTATGTATGCAATAAATGAAGCAGTTGTGTATGCATGGCTGTGTTTCGGTTTGAAGAAAACTCGACTAGTTTAGGGATATGGCGTGAATTTACTGGCGTCTCGACGGAATGGAATAACACCTGAGTCTCAAGAATGGCATTTTTCATTCATTTTGCATGGGATTGGTATCATAATTATGCGAAACAGTATACTCTATATTATGGAGAGGTTCTTGGTACTGAGAGACTCATGTCTATAGGCGACGGTTACCACTTTCCATCAGAAGGTGGACCGTCAGCTTGTTTGCCAATCTAGGTTGTATAAAAAAATAAAATAAAAAGTACACGAGGGGGAGCTAGTTGTGTTCTTTAGGAAGTACATTTTTCTATTTTAATTTTATACTACTGGTTTAACTTATGTATAATTAGATCGAGAAAACTCGACTAGTTTAGGGATCAATTCGTGATCCTTAATCATGAGCAGCTGTGATGCGACCGCTCGTCTGACTGCGCGTCTCGACCCGCTGAATGTGTATTGTATGTGCTTATGAAACTTTTAACAATAAAAAAGTACATTTTTCATTCATTTTGGTGATTCCCAAAATGTTGAGATTGAGTCACTTCTTGTTTTATAATTATGACCGAAAATGTAATACAGTAAAATATATTTCCAGCAAATGGAGAGGTTCAAAGTGGTGGAAAGAGAGACAAAAACGAAGGCATACTCTAAGGAAGGTCTCGGGGCGGCGCAGAAGCTCGACCCGGCGCAGAAGGAACGGGAGGAGATGGCTTCGTGGCTTGTCTCATCTATCGATGCACTTAATTTACAGGTCAGCTTGGAAATTGTTTATTTTACTAGTAATAGAAACTTCCAGAAGGCATAAAATTGTAAAATACTGGATAACACCGTCTAGTTCCAAATTAAGCAGAGATTGTGCTATGGGTAATAAACAACTTTTAGAAATATTTAAATACTTTATCCTTATTCATAAAAAGTAAAACTAGAATAAACCTATTTTAACTATTACACTGTTTTTTGTCACTTTTTTCAAATTCGGAATTTAAAATAACAGTTCAACAGCTCATATATATATATATCTATATCTATATATATATATATATATATATATATATATATATATAGACCACCCCCTATTCTATGCTGGGACTACATGGGCATTCCTTTTCTGTGGATCCCATAAGAGGCGATTAAAAGAATTTAATACTAGAGGGATGGGCAGCAGCATCCCTCTTAAAACATGTCTAAAAGTCTAACTATAGTTGCCAACCCGCCTGCCAAGTGTGGCAACTACTAAAAGTCTCCTTATGGGGGAGGCTTATGTTCAGCAGTGGACAGACAATTGAAATGATGATTGATTTGTTAATAATTTGTCATTTCTCACTTGCAGGTTGATCAATTTGAGTCTGAAGTAGAATCACTGTTAGTTGGTAAGAAGAAACGACTGGACAAAGAGAAACAAGACCGTATGGAGGAGTTGAAGGTGAAGCTGGAGAAGCACAGGTTCCATATAAAAAAGCTAGAAACCCTGCTGAGGATGCTTGACAATATGTCTGTTGAGGTAGAACAGGTGTGTGAGAAATTTTACTAATATTATATACTATCACTAGCTGACTCAACTAGCTGGCAAACGTTGTTTTACCATATACATTATTTCGAGAACTATACATGATAATTTATCCTATATATTATATTCGCCATCTTACAACCCTATTGATTAAACCCAAAAAACCACAAATTAAATACTTATTGAAATTTTTCAAATAAATCAACATAAAATAAAAATAAAAATTTTGTCAAAAAAAATATTTTTTTTATTTGATGGATGAAAATGGTATGTTGGCCGATTCTCAGACCTCGCCCAATATGCACACAAAATTTCATAAAAATCGGAGCACCAGTGAAGGGTGATAGATGAGAATGAAAATATATCAGTTAGCCCATCATGATAAATTCATCAGGTCAACCATGATAGTATAGTCCAGAGGGCGGAACTTGACTAAATCCAAGATCCACAAATTACATACTTATTGAAATTTCAAATAGAACAACATAGTTCAGTACACATTTATGTAGTATCCCTTTATTTTATAAAGACGGGAAACATAAAAGTGAAAATTATTCTTAGTAACTAATTATTTATATTAGTGTAAGAATTATAATAGATTAGCAAGATATCAAAATTTTTGCCTTGACATGGTCGATGGGATTAATAGTCGCGATCGACCTCTCCTTTTTTAAACAATTTAGAACAAACAAGCTGACGGCCCACCTGATGGAAAGTGGTAACCGTCGCCTATAGACATGAACAGTACCATGACAGAGTGTACTGTTTCGCCCATGATACCCCCTGTGCGTTACCATTCCTGTCGACTTAGATGTTATTTCTCTGTACCCTATAAATTCACGCCATATCCCACCCTTCAAACCGAAACACAGCCATGCAAACACAACTGCTTCACGGTAGCAACACGAATGGGACAGAGGTACCCAAGCAATCGACTTTTGTACAAAGTCTCTCTCTGGTGAAACATAGTGACTGTATACCAAATTTCATAGTAATTGGTTAAGAACGTTTAGGCGTCAAAAGGTAATAAAAAACTCATTTTCACATTTTAATATTAGTACAGATGTGAGTGGGTTTGTTTGTTTTTATTTCTCAGCTCTCAAACGGTGCTATTAATCTGCGTGAAATTTGGCATGGGATGAAGGATAAATAAATAAATAAATAAACAATAATTTATTCAGCAAACATTGTTTCACTTACCAAAAAGGTTCATACAGAGTAAAATAACATGCACAGGAGGTAAAGGTGTCATGCAATGTTTAAAATTCCTATCACTGATGGGAATTTAAAAAAAAAGAGCGAAAACAAATGATCATAAAAAAAACATACATATTAAAATTATATAAACTAATAAACATATATAAATAACAAATACACTTACACATATATGACATATACTATATTATACACGAAATTGAGAATAATATAAAGTACTTACTGCTCGGATAAAGTAAAAAAGAGAGCATCAACGTTTTTTTAAAGACTGTTTAGTTGGTAGTCTTTTAATGGTATCAGGAAGCGCATTCTAGAGTCGTAAAGCGTAGCCGAGACACACATACGTGAATCCATCTATGCCTAGTTGTGGCCAAGGCTTGTATAGTACTTTTCTCAAACAATGCACGGAAATCAAAAACATAAATTTACTTTTTAAGTTCAATGACGAATAACGAACAATAATAATTTTTCACGCGCCATAATGTTCCTTTTTTTTTTCAATAAACAGCTTTCTATTTGCAAGCCTGTTCGAAATTTAAATAAAATCTTTTATTAGTTACCTCCTTGGTAGCCATGTATCGAAATAAAAGGTCATTCCATTTTTAAATTACAGGACAGATATGAGTTTACATAGTAATTTATCTGGCCGCAAAACACGACAGATATCGTTCATACAACTTTTGCCGGCCGCTGCCCGCATGTATCTGGCCAGTACGGCAATTTTGATTTATCTCGAAGAAGATTGTCAAAATAATGCTCACATTTCCAAGCATATTTGAGAAAAATAATTTAACGGTGTAGTTGATACACAATTGTTTAATTGTTTATTAATGCATCATTAGGCTATAATTATGCTATAAACTTGTTCGTACAGTAAATAATTGCCCTCTATACGAACCTTGCTAGGGTGTTGCAAATTACATGTATAATCATTAATCGCACATTGATATAGTAAATTATATAATAAAACTAGCGGCCCGTCTCGTCATCGCACGGGTGGACATTTTTACATTTTAAAAAGTTGCCATTAAGGCTGCACACGCAACGGAAGCTTAAAAATGGAGTAACTTCTCTCGTTATGAAAAGTGTACTATAACCTGCCCAGGAATATGAAGAATAATTGTACCAAGTTTCGTTAAAATCCGCCGAGTAGTTTTTGTTTTTATAACGAACATACAGACAACAATTTTACTGATTGCATTTTTGGCATCAGTATCGATCAGTAATCACCCTCTGATAGTTATTTTGGAAATATATTTCATGTACAGAATTGACCTCTCTACAGATTTATTATAAGTATAGATATAATACAGTGAACACTATATAAGCAACACTCTTTATATTTTATTTATTCAACTCGGCTTAGTTAGTAAAAGAAATAAGTAAAAATATTTTCCAGACGGTAAGTATTTTTATACTCCTTTTTTCCCTGTAAGCAACTTTTCCCAATAAGATTTTTTTCTTTATTCTTTATTGTACACTAAGCATACTGTTAATTACAATTCATTATAAACATAATGTACAAAGGCGAGCTTATCTCTAATAAGAGATTTCTTCCAGCAAAACCTTTCCATGTTAATTGTGTTATTTTAAAAATAAAAATAGTTTTTTTTATTGAAATTGGTTCAAATGAGTTGCTTATATAGAGCGTTCGCTGTATATATGTAAATTCATCAAGTTATCTAGTATATTATTAAATTACAGATAAAAAGGATAAAAGAAGACGTTGAATACTACATAGACTCATGCCTAGACCCGGAGTTTGAGGAGAATGAGTACATATATGACGACATCCGAGGGCTAGACGACATTGATCTGAGCGGCGTGGGGCTGCCCTCCTCCGCCACCACCGACAGCAACAACAGTAACCACTCGCCGGGATCACCCACCAGTATACTATCAGGTACACATACAAATAAAAATCGATATCAACCATTTTTTTTTTTACAACTTAGAATGTTTGATTTCCATTTCATTATCATTCATTAAAAAATTGCTGATAAGTCTACCTTTCTGATAAAAAGTTTTCCAAATAGGTAACAAAACATTAAAAAAAAATCCAACTGAATTACGAAATGAGTAGTACCATGGACACTTTGTACAAAGTCGATTGCTTGTTTCACCCATGATACCCCCATGAAGCAGTTGTGTTTCCTGAGTGTTCAGGTTTATTCCTTTGTACCCAGTAAATTCACAGAGGAATATCCCACACTGAGTCTTCAGGAATGGCAAAACACAGCCATGGGCAAACACATATTCTGTTTCATGGTATTGAAACACGATTATAGGCGACGGTTACCACTTTCCATCAGGTGGATCGTCAGCTTGTTTGCCATTCTAAGTAGTATAAAAAAAATAACATCGCCAGCACTAACAAACCCTTCCTCGCTATACTTACAGATTAGTCATATAAAACTTTTATCAAAATCCATTCAGCAGTTCAGTTTTTAAATCAAAATATCACATTTGAAATGTTTTTTTTTTTTTTTGAAACACAAATCTTTAATAATTCTTTTCCTTCAGGTACAAGTCCAATCGCGTCACCAACGTTAGACATCCACAATCACTCAACGGACTCCACGGAAGTTGAGAAGAAGAAGAAAGAAGAAATCGTAGCGAAAGTGAGTTCATGTCGCCTTCTATCACAACATCATTCATTATACATCAGATGTTCATTGTTAACTTGATATTTATACAGTTTAGTCATGTGGAGTTTAGATTTTCCAAATTACTACCAATTAGTTTTGGGTTCTAATTTCTATTCGCTTCCAAATAAGAAACTTGTGCAGTGCTCTACGTAGGTGGCGCCACCGTGTTGCGACGTAAACAACAGCAGTCAGAACAGTACTGAGGTAGTGTGACTTTAAAAAAATATAATTACATAACGGCGGGAAAACAAGGTTTACAATTTTGCTTTCCCGCCTAAAGATGAAGTTTGTTTACGTTATAACACAATAGCGCCCCTAGCGGGAAAAATTGGCATTTAGCTTCCCTATTAGTAACTAGTTAAGTTACAATTACTAGAGCTTTTTTTGACTGTTTTTACTATCATATACATAATAATATGTATTTAATTTGTACCCATATTTTTTTGGACATATACAGTCTAGAATAAAAAAAAAAAAACTTAATATTTCTCGCTTTGTAATTTGAATTCAAATATGGATTAAACTCTCGGTATAGAGGGTCCGTATGACTCGTCCCGCTGCTCTTTCTACTCGCCAAATGGACCCAAAACTAATTTAGCCGACTTCCAAAGTGGTAAATGATGTGTGTTGACTTTGCAGCCGGTAAAACCACTGCCGCTCCGAGTGGTGAACGCCAGCCTGGTCGGTAATAGCACGTCTAACGTTTGTTCCTTGCTCAATAACTCCGCAGCATCCACCAATAGGTCAGTCCCCTCTGACACATGTATTTTGATACGATTTTTTTTTATTTTCTCCCCACTTTTTTTTTGCGTCGGCTATCGGTCTGGGACAATGTAATGTGCATGTTCTTGTAACGTTTGATTGGATTTGCTCTTATTTGTTAATGTAAAAATGTCATAAAAAATTATACACACCCTTATGTCAAGGTCATCATCTCGGTTATAAACGTAAATATATAAGAAATCTGTAGTATCTACATTATTAATTTTATTATCAGATTTTGTATAAATTCATCTCGGTATTTTTATTTCACCTATTCTTCTGCCAAACTGTTTTACTTTTTTTTTTTTTTTGTCCTGACACTGTATTTTAATGGGTGATAATGCAATGGTAACCCTGCCTGCGTTAACGGTATACTCTGACGGGGTACCAGTGATGGATGATAGATGAGAATGAGAGTAGGTCAATTGGCCCGTCGTGATGACTTGAACAAGAACTAACTACGAGAGTTTCCAGGGGGAACCGCGTTGAGGTCTATCTGACGGGGTGCATTGATAGCAATGAATCTGTTAGACTTCAATACCAACATCCCTTTTCCCCTTTAAGCATTATATTGTTGAAAAACATACATCCAGACCAGAGACGATTTAGAAAAATTGGTTCAACCAAGAATTGAAACTTATTTATAATTAATTTACACCAATCAATATTTATTTATTTATTTATTTATTTATAGGAATACCAACATAAGATACAGCTAAACATTTTAATACAATACACTGGTAGATTCGATCTTACTGGCAACCACAGCGCACGCCTTGTGTTTGATAAACATTAAAATATAATTAAATTATTAAATATCATTATATGAGTAAAGATATTAACAATATGAATAAATACCTATTATAAATGAATAATATACCTATTATTGCCCTACAAATGTCGTCATAAATATAAGAGTAAATCACAATTTATGTAAATAAATAACCTTTAAATCAATTAAATTAATTTATAAAAATCAATACAGTTTACAATACATTGTCCCCGACCATATTCAGTAGACCTAATTCGAAACACATATATATATGGGAATAATTGCATTAACATTGCATGCTCAATTCATCATTTTATCGCATGATTATTTTTTTCTTATTTTTAAATAAAATTTACGTTTGTAAAATTTAGTCTGTGGGACTAGGCTAAGATTTCACGCAACCGATTCTAATTATATTTGTATTTGTATTTGTTGTTTATATATATATATATATATATATATATATATATATATATATATATATATATATATATATATATATATATATATATATATATAATCAATATTAAGTGTTGTTATTATGGAATGATTAAGTTTGAATACAAATATAAATAAATAAAAAACAAATAAAAAGAAAGAAATATATTTATCGCATTTGTAATACGGTTTTTTTATTACTATTACATTGGAATCCAATTTTAAAAGTGATAAATTTATTTCACCTAATTATTATTAATTCACACGAACGTTATTCTATATCAAAATAGAGAGAGATGGAATGAATGGATATATATATAATCAATATTATATATATATATATATATATATATATATATATATATATATATATATATATATATATATATATATATATATAATCAATATTAAGTGTTGTTATTATGGAATGATTAAGTTTGAATACAAATATAAATAAATAAAAAACAAATAAAAAGAAAGAAATATATTTATCGCATTTGTAATACGGTTTTTTTATTACTATTACATTGGAATCCAATTTTAAAAGTGATAAATTTATTTCACCTTATTATTATTATTCACACGAACGTTATTCTATATCAAAATAGAGAGAGATGGATATATATATATATATATATATATATATATATATATATATATATATATATATATATATATATATATATATATATATATATATATATATAATCAATATTAAGTGTTGTTATTATGGAATGATTAAGTTTGAATACAAATATAAATAAATAAAAAACAAATAAAAAGAAAGAAATATATTTATCGCATTTGTAATACGGTTTTTTTATTACTATTACATTGGAATCCAATTTTAAAAGTGATAAATTTATTTAATAAAAGTGTTAATTCACACGAACGTTATTCTATATCAAAATAGAGAGAGATGGAACATGATGTCAAATGTCATGCCTATTTCTTTCTCTATCGCACGTATCGTCATAGTCGTAGAATACTGACGGATCTGACGAATATTACATATAAAGATCCGTCAGTATTCTAGGACTATGACGGTATACGCCCGTGGTAAATTAACGTTCGTAAAATGAGCGCTTGAGAATCGTTGTGCGGGAATTTTGGTTCCATACGATTATTTACTCGAATTATAAATTTTATTTAAAGAAAGAAATACCATTTTAACACTCGCACTGTAAGTATATAAGCATTATGCGAAGTATTTTCGATATTTCCTTTTTTAGTGAGTTACTATCATTTATATTGACCAAGCTTAAAATTTTTAAACTCTCTTGTAGTTCCGGCATAGAATGGGCCACCCCTGCCTTTCCCGTGGGTGTCGTAAGAGGCGACTAAGGGAACTTAATAGTAGACGGATGGGTAACAGCATCCCAAAACATCATCAAAGTCTAACTGCGGTTGCCAACCCGCCTGCCAAGTGTGGCAACTACTGGCGATATGGCTGATATGATGATACTTATAATTCGCTTAACAAAACAAACATCCAATTCGATGGTAACAAAATTAATATTGGATCAATTCGTTGTCTGCTTTTTTTTTTTAATGGATGATAATAGCATGGTAACTCCTCCTGCGTTACCGGTATACACTGGCAGGGCACCAGTGAGGCGAGATTGGTGAGAATGAAAAGGCAGGCCAGTTAGACTATCGTGACGAATTCAACGATAAATTAGTCACGATGGTTTCCAGGGGGAACCGCGTGGAGGTCGACCTGTAAGATATATCGATAGCAATGAACTGCTACCCATTACACTGTACCATGTACACTGTTGAGCATAGACTTCCCCCTTGCGGGATGGGGGTGGGGGGTTACAGTAGTTGCTACATTTGGCAGGCGGGTTGGCAAATCGCAGGTTAGGCTTTGATGTTTTAAAAGGGGCGCTGCTACCCATCCCTCGATTATTAAGTTCCCATAGTCGCTTCTTACGACAAACACTGGAAAGGAAGGGATGGCCTATTCTTTGCCGGATTAGAACATATATTCACATGTTAATTTTTGCAAACTTGTCTATACAGATACGCGATCGTAAAATGGGAACGTATATGCTTACAATGCGAGTGTGGTAGCTGGCTAGCGGCACAGTACAATGATGTTTTTGCAACATTTTGATAATGTAATACACAATAGCAATGTTTTCTAGGGGGGCCACATGGAACTTAATCTGACAGGGTTGCAATCTGCTAGCAATGGGACTGGTAGTCCGCATTACTAACAATTCCTTTCCCTTCTTTTAAACGACGGTTATCACTTAGGTAACGATCTTACCAACTTAGGATGGTTACATCAGGCGAGCCGTCAGCTTGTTTGCCATTTTAAGTATCCATTACAACTGTCATCGTACCGTGCCGCTTCGCTGAATGTTATAGCATGTGAACAGTTGGCTAGAAGCGTGACCATATTCTCGGTTGCAGTATAAACAATGCGGTATCGGGCGCGTCAACGCCGAGCAAACAGCCGGCGCCGAGTCCGCCCCACCAGCCTCACCAGCCTCACCAGCCCCACCAGCCGCACCAGCAGCATCAACAGCACCAGCAGCACCCGCCGCATCACCTCGCGCGGCCGCCTAACGCAACCGGTGAGTGGACGCCATCACCTACGGGGTATTATAAAATTAGCATGTTGTTTTTCGCCATATACATATTTACGCAATACATTCTTAACGCTTAAAAGCCTGATTTTTTAAATCAAATTTAAAAATATATAAGTGTACCCTTTACTGTGTTTACTAATGGGGCAAAATAGTAAAAAAAAAAATCAAAACGATATTTTTATATATTTATTTTGAAAAAAAAAAACATTTGGTATCATTTTTGATACTTTAGGCATTACGGTAATGAAAATATTTAAATTTATTTAACAATGAAACAATGCATACCCCGGTATCAGAGGGAGACTTTGTACAAAAGTCGATTGCTTAGGTACCTCTAACCCATTCGTGTTTCAACCGTGAAGCAGTTGTGTTTGCATGGCTGTGTTTCGGTTTGAAGGGTGGGATATGGCGTGAATTTACTGGGTACAGAGGTATAACACCTGAGTCTTCAGGAATGGCGTATGTATCATGGGCGAAACAGTATACTCTGGTATATCCATGGTACTGCTCATGTCTATAGGCAACGGTTACCACTTTCCATCAGGTGGGCCTTCAGCTTGTTTGCCATTCTAAGTTGTATAAAAAAAAATTTGTTACAATATCTAGACTCTCTGGACAAGTGGCAAGCGAATTCGTCGATGGAATCGACATCGCTAGCGAGTCCATGAGTTGGAATGAGAGATCCGACGTTGCTATCTCATTCTGTCCCACGGACTCGCTAGCGATGTCGTTTCCATCGACGAATTCGCTTGTCATTGTCTAGAGGGCTTGGTCCCATAACGAATATGTTAAAAGTCTGTTATCCAAAAAATATTGGATAACAAACTTTTATAATGTATTCGAAATTAGATATCCGACCGATATGGGTGATATCGAAATAGGTTATTACCTTTCCGCCATTAATGTTTAGAATAACCGAATATATAGATGGCGGATCGGTATCCATATAACCCATGCGTACTATAGACATGTACAATACCATAGATATCACAGAATATACTATTTTTTTTGATTGGTGAAAATGGAATGGTAATACCGCCTGCACTAACGGAATACGCTGGCGGAGCACCAGTGAAGGGTGATCGATGAGAATGAAAACAGGCCAGTTAGCCCATCATGATGAATTCATCAGGAATTAACCATGATAGTTACCAGGGGGAACCGCGAGGAGGTCGACCTGGTTGGGTATATTGCTAGCAATGGGATACTGTCTCCATCACTAACAATCCCTTTCCCCGACTATTAACACAATAGTAAAAAATAAAGTGCTACACAGTCATACGAATCGCCTGGTCTCGCCAGTTATCTTGTGTTATGAAGTCCTAACCAACTAACATCTGAGCCCACAAATTCAGAAACATTCAATTCAGAAAAAAATATTTCCTAAATTATGTCGTTCGAGAATCGAACCTCGGACTTCACGTGCGCAGTACAACCTATTAATGTCAACAAATATATAACAACATCTTTAAGCAGTCTCAATTATTTGTCAAATTTTAAAAACAATTATATAATTTTTAATGTTGATTGATTATTTAAAAAGTGCTCTGCTAACCAACTAAATTATTATTCATTAAAAAGTCAAATCTCTCATAAACCCAATTTTAACTATTGAACTGTTTTGTCTCTTTCTTTTGTACCAAATTCTCAAATTGAATGAAAATGACAAGACACTGTAATAATTAAAACAAGTAGATAGATAGATAGATAAACTTTTTATTTGAGCCATTTATGACACACGTAAATTAACAAATGAGTTTATACAATCAAATTATTTAGTTATGTTATATTAGTTTTATTAAGTATGTGGGACGAGGATAAAAAAAAAATTATGAGTGAGGGGTAAGACCTTAATCATGCAATAATATACTTGTTAAGATAAAGATTTCGATTTTATGTCAAAAAAAAAAATATAACGAAACCACACGGGTACTTTTTAAATAATCAGTCGGAGACATTGAAAATTATGAAATTATTTTAAAAAATTGACAACTAACTGCGACGTTGCCGCACTTCGTTTTGAACGCTCTTAAAATAAACAATATTCATCGGTACACGTTTAATTTAATATTTGCCTATCAACTACCGCGTACGTAGCGATAACGCAAAAGTGGGTCACTTCACATTCGGAACAGTCCAATTATCGGAACATCAAAGAAAAAAAAAAGAATAAATCGCTCGCTACATATCGGCAGAGATAACGTACGGCGTTACGTTGTTTACATAATAAACGGCTTATCGGTCGCATGAATGGACGCGCGGCAAGCGAGCGTCGTCCAGCGCGATCGGGCTGGCACGCCGCCAGCGCGGCTGGCGAGCGCCCAGCGCGGCCGCTCGCGGCCAGTAGCCCACCGCGCACCGACCGGCCCGCGGCCCGTCACGCAAGCAAAACAAACACAATGAGCGCAGTAAACAAAGGATAAATAATGGACGATGGTAAAACGCGTTTTCTGTGTGCATGTGTTTGCGTATCTCTTGTAGCGGCGCGACGGTATGTGACATTTCCAATGTGAAGTTCAATGCGGATTATGTAATTATTTTGAGGGGTGACGTCTTAATTTGTGGTCGTAGCGAACGCGATCTGCGACGTCGCGTGTTGTCGTACAAAGACGCGATTTTTGTTCTGTCACGTGGCTCGTGACGTCACTGTTCACGTTTGATTCATTGGAAATTTGATTACAAGACATTTTAATGTTTGACATTGACAGGTGATATTTCGAATGTAGTCACAATGTTTACTCGCTCGTCGGCTATGTTCTTAATCTATTTTGTGATAATTCAATTAAAAGTTAATTTGTGTTTAATTCATGATGGTTTATAGATAATTAATTTTGTTTTTATTCATGAATTGCTAGTCGTGATCCATGGTTTCTCTCGCGCGGGACTTCTTGTATTGTAGTAACATTTATTTAGATCATCTTAGCCTAATAACACTGCTTTAAAAACAAACAATAAACTTTAAAAACTTTAAAAAAAACGAATAACTTATTCTAATATAATTGCTTCTTGTTTATTTTCGGTAGATCTGTTTGCCAATCGGCAAAGGTCATCCAACCGTTTCCATTCTCGTCTTTCTTGAGCCACTCTGTCCCACATTAATCTGCCACTATCCTGACATCATCCCATCTTGTGTAGGATCAGCCTCTTCCTTTTCCTTCCCTGGGATATCATCTTGTCACGCGCAGTATAAATTATTCTTCAATAATATTTTTTTATTCACATATAATAAAATATCAATCATCAATCAATCAATCATTTATTTACATGTAGACCAATATTGTTACAACATTTTACATGTTGTAACAATATTGGTCTTAATTTACTAAAAGTATAGAATTAACATGAACCCTGGAAGGGCACAGCAATTATTAATAAATATTACATAAACTACATAACTAAATTTTTACATTATATATATGTTCGTCGATTAACATTTTTTAAATTAAAACAAACAGTATAATAATAATTTTTATGTAGCATTATATGTACGTATGTGTACTATTTATCGCCTCTTTGATAAATCGTATCACATATGAAATAGTTTAACAATATCATAAACTTTCAAACGATATGTTAATCATGATCCAACATGAATTACAGACAGTCCTCGTACTTACGGCATGTTTTTTTTTTTGATGGTTGAAAATGGAATGGTAACCCCGCCTGCGCTAACGGGATACGCTGGCGAAGCACCAGTGAAGGGTGATAGATGAGAATGAAAACAGGCCAGTTAGCCCATCATGATGAATTCATCAGGAATTGACCATGATAGTTTCCAGGGAGAACCGCGAGAAGGTCGACCTGGTTAGGTATATTGCTAGCAATAGGATTTTCGGTCTCCATTACTAACAATCCCTTTCCCCCCACTTAAGACATGTTAGGTTCTCGAAACACTCGACGTAAATCAAAACGACGTAAGTCGAAACATATTTTTTTATATGTTTGCATGTAAAATTCAAGGGTTAGGATCCACTCGGACTCAAAATTAAAAAAAAAAAACATCGATTTTGACCTCGCGACAACTGAATTCTATTATGCCGGAAATCGAAAAAAATGACGTATTTTTGAGGAATAGTGTCAAAACATTGTTCGACGTAACTTGAAACGACGTAAGTCGAGAACTGCCTGTGCACGTGATAAAATATAACGAACATAAATTTGTATGTTTATTCCACCGCTGGTATTATTAGTACAAGCATTTCGCATTTAGCCATTACAATGTACAGTCTGACTCATACCATAATTCCAACAACATGTTTACTAAACACCACATGCAAATTTCCATAATTATGTCATTGAACCCTGGTATAGTACTATGATGAATCATCGCATACTGTTGCAGTGATCAAACTGAAATCAGAGCCTCTAGACAAGTGGTATCGCTAGCGAGTAGGTGAGTTGGAATGAGACATCCGACGTTGCTATCTCATTCTATCGACGAATTCGCTTGTCACTTGTCTAGAAGCCCTGACAATGTCAGATTAGGTATCTTATCTATTATTCATTAGATACTATAAAAAAAAATCAATATTTCTAATAATTATTTAAAATGTACTGTTATAGCGAATTTTTTTTTTGATTGGTGAAAATGGTATGGTAACCCCGCCTGCGCTAACGGGATACGTTGGCGGAGCACCAGTGAAGGGTGATAGATGAGAATGAAAACAGGCCAGTTAGCCCATCATGATGAATTCATCAGGAATTAACCATGATAGTTTCCAGGGGGAACCGCGAGGAGGTCGACCTGGTTGGGTTTATTGCTAGCAATGGGATTCTCGGTCTCCATTACTAGCAATCCCTTTCCCCCCTGTTATAGCGAATTAGACTAATAGAGAATATTAATTTTATTGAAATTAAGATCTATTTTTGTTGTTATAAAATATTTGCATGGCTGTGTTTCGATTTGGAGATTGGGACATGGCAGTGAATTTACAGGGTACAAAGGAATAACACCTGAGTCTTCAGGAATAGCAACGCATGGGGGGTATCATGGGCGAAACAGTACACTCTGTTATGTCCATGGTACTGCTCATGTCTATAGACGACGACTTTCTATTACGTCAGTTGTTTGCCATTCTAAGTTGCATAAAGAAAAATATAAATATTTATTCGTATAAATAGTCTACGTTAACATGGCATGCCCCTTGTAACTTTTTTAATTCAGTGTGTGACTCTTTAGGAATGCATTTGTTGATGGTCTCCGCCACCGCCACCATTTTTGGCTGTCAATATTAAAAAAGTTGACAGCAAGATTGAAACCTACATTGTTGATTCAGTCTTAAGTGTAAAATAACTAGTACAATCCTTGATGCAGAAGAACCTTAGTCCTCAGGATTGTAAATATATGTAGGGCATATCCCATACTTTCGTCATCCGCTCGCCATTGGCAAGGAATCTATCCTCACGTCTTAGAACCAGGGTGGCCACAGGGTGGTTATAGAATAATCTCCCTGCCGAGGTTTTTCCTAGAGACTACAGCATGGGGTTTTTAAAAAATTTAGTATTAACCCTTAAAAGCCTGATTTTTTAAATCAAATTAAAAAATATATAAGTGTACCCTTTACTGTGTTTACTAATGGGGAAAAATAGTAAAAAAAAAAACAAAACGATATTTTTATATATTTATTTTAAAAAAAACATTTGGTATCATTTTTGATATAATACTTTAGGCATTACGGTAATCAAAATATTTAAATTTATTTAACAATGAAATAATGCAAACTCCGGTGTCAAATTTGAAACTTCAAGTGTTTAAGGGTTAAGGTTTCTTAAGAGTCGGCAATGCGCGCGTGACTTCCCTAGTGTTACAGGCGTGTAAAAAAAAAAAGATTAATGAGTTTTTTAACCCCATTTACCATTAGCCGAGCCGTATGCTTGTTTGCGATCATGGTAGTATAAAAAAATACTTCAAGTCCAAAAGGTTATTGTATCGATTCGTCTGTTTTTTTTTTTAGGAAAAAAATCTGGTGGAATACGTCCCAAAAAAGTATATTTTTATGACTTCAATTTGATCCTGTGTATATTTTGTTTAATATTATTACAAATTGTACAATAATATGATATTTTTTTAAATCTATGCACCGCCATTTATTCTCTCTGTTTATCGTAACGGTTGACTGGTAGAGAATGCCATTAGGCACTAACTCCGTCCTGTAGACATGGTCTAATGTGCATAAAAGTATAAATAAATAAATAAATAAAGTAAATGTTTCATGTTGCAGAAGTAGTAGAAAATGGTCCCGTATCAATTGCGCCAGCGCACAACACCACGCACCTACCGCCTTCAACGCAACCAGCACCGGTAAGTTTTACATTTGCAATACTACTTTCGCAACCACTGCTTTGTTCGATTCTAGGGGATAAGTAGATTGATTTACATATAAAGAAATAAAAAAAAATATCCGTCCCGAATTTAAGATTGATTTTTTTAACCGACTAAGTATATACGATCAGTCGAAAGTACGTATAAAAGTTTTTTAAAAATTTTATTTTACAATTATTCAGGTAAAAAAATTTTATCTTTCAAGTCCAAAAGATTATTGTTTCCATTCATGTCTGTTTTTGTTTTTCAGGTCGTAAAAAAATCTCATTTATGTCCCCCAAATGCCGCCCCATAAATTATATTTTTATGAACAAGAAGAAGTCACACGGGGCCAAATCCTGCGTATATTTTCGTTTAATATTATTACAAAAACTCACGTACAACAAGATGATATTTTTTGGTGAAGAATCTATGCCCCTCTCGCCATTTATTCTCTCTGTTTATCGTGCCACACGACTGTCTGACCGTTAAACGAATGTCCCCATTAACACAAGTTCGAATTCTTTCCACGTTTTCGTCGGAATGTGAATGGAAGGACGTCCTGAACGTAAATAAATAAAATAAATGTTTCATGTCTCTGAATCTTTTAGAAAATGGTGGACGTATCAATTCCTTCACAGCATCATCCCCATAAACTGTTCTGAGATCGGCAAAAATTTCAGCACTTGCCGAGTTTCGAGAGAAACTTGATTACGACGCGCTGCTCTTCAACGGAAGCGGGCTCCACCCACTGCTTTCGTTAAGAGGTCTTCACAGATGGCGTGACAAGCCAGATTGATTTACATATACCAGAACTAAAAAAATAAGGAAGGGGTATCCGGCCTCCCCACTCCTTTAAGATTCCAGAACACTTTTTATACGAACTTTCCGGACAGTATATAGAATCAGATAAAAAAGAATTATCCAAATCGGTTTACAATTGATGGAGTTATGTTGTAACAAATATAAAAAAATACACCTGAATTGAAGACCTCCTTTTTGAAGTCGGTTAAAAATGATTGTTATTTGTGCTTTGGAAAGTGCGAAAGACTCGTTATTTGGAGGAAGATTTTGTACAAAAGTCGATTGCTTGGGGTACCTCTGTCCCATTCGTGTTTCAACCATGAAGCAGTTGTGTTTCACGGTTGAAACACGGCTGTTTCGGTTTGAAGGGTGGGATATGGCGTGATTTTACTGGGTACAGAGGAATAACACCTGAGTCTTCAGGAATGGCAACGCACGGGGGGTATCATGGGCGAAACAGCATACTCTGTTATGTCCATGGTGCTGCTCATGTCTATAGGCGACGGTTACCACTTTCCATCAGGTGGGCCGTCAGCTTGTTTGCCATTCTACGTTGTATAAAAGAAATCTCTAGTATAGGTTGTCAAGTATATTTGTTTTTTTTTTAATAAAAAAATAATTAATGGTATAAAAATGATTATCTCGTGGGTAGTAATAGTATGTGGGTTGCGTTGCAGACGTCGAAGAGTTCGTCAGTGTCGATAGGAGCGACAGCGACAGCGGGCGCGACAGCGACAGCGGCAGCGGCGGCGGGCGCGGCGGCGAGCGGCGAGGCGCCGTCGCCGCTGACTGTCAACGGGCCCGCGCAGCCCGCGCCGCACCACACGCCGCAGCATGCCGTCAACAAGTCAGTGCATCACTAGTGTTTTATATATCACCAGCTGACTCGGCAGACGTTGTTTTACCATATACATTATTTCTAGAACTATACGTGAAAATATATCGTACTACAATTATTATAGTCGATGACAATCTTGCAGCCCTATTGCGGCATATAAAAATTGCGATTAAACAGTAGGGGTTAATTGTAAAAGCGTGAAAATTTGAATTTGTATGTATTTTTCAATGCTAAATCATAATAAAATTACAAATTAAATAAAAAAAATTGTCAGAAAAAAAAATTTAGGGGTGGGTCACCCTTATCATTGAGGGGTATGAAAAATAGATGTTGGCCGATTCTCAGACCTACCCAATATGCACGCAAATAAATTCAATAGTTAAACGCAGTTTTTTTCAATAGTTAAACTCACCTACGTTGTTTGTGTATGTTGGATAAAGTTTGGGATGCCAATTCAGTTGACCGAATTGCCCAGGAACTAATCAATATTGTTTCCAGGAGCACTTTATGAATTTCGACCCAATTGCAATATACGTGACTAGTTTTTACCTGAAATTTCATCCCCGTGAATGAAAAATGTTCAGTGAACCAGAAAAAAATTGCCTCTCCATTCCATTATAGCATGTGTATAGCAAATTTGACAGTTTGATTAAGCCGTTAATTCTGTATAAGGTAACAAACAAACATACTCACTTTTATATTTATAATTTTAGTAAAGATATCGCCACGTGGTCCCAGCATTGAATACCTTATATATACCCCTTTCTCGTGGGTGTCGTAAGAGTCGACTAAGGGAGGGCCAAGGATGGGTAGCAGCGTCCCTGTTAATGCATTTCTAAAAACCTAACTGCTGTTGCCAACTCGCCTGCCAAGCGTGGCAACTACTATCAAAACTTCTCTTATGGGGAAGGCTTATGTCCAGCAGTGGATAGTTAACGGCTGAAATAATAATAATAGGGATATTGACTTGGTCCTCCCTTTCATAATTCAAGTTTAGTTTCATTGACCCCTTAATGAAAGTTTACAAAAAATAATTGTGGAAGGGAATTAGCGATTTTATGGAAAATGTAGTCTTAATATAAGTTTCAGGTGGGAAAGGGACTGTTAGTAATGGAGACTGAGAATCCCATTGCTAGCAATATATCCAACCAGGTCGACCTCGCGGTTCCCCCTGGAAACTATCATGGTTAATTCCTGATGAATTCATCAACTGGCCTGTTTTTATTCTCATCTATCACCCTTCACTGGTGCTCCATCAGCGTATCCTGTTAGCGCAGGCGGGGTTACCATACCATTTTCACCCATCAAAAAAAAATGTTTCATTTGTTTATTATATCTTGACACTAAAATTATGTCGTGCTGTAATTTATTTATTTATTTTTAAAAGGTACATCAACAGTGTAAATACAGGCATTAATTTTAATTGATATACACGGCTTGCATCTTGCATTTACACCAATAACAGATGTACACAACATTTTCTTAAGTCATCGATTACATATAAACAAAACTGACGCCAACAAAATGCGATAAATTATAATAGCGTTTAATCAAATGCGCAGCGGGCGAGTAAGCGAATCTTCAATGACGGGCGCGCTGAGTGCGGCGAGCGTGGCGGCGAGTGCAGCGGGCGGCGCGGGCGGCGCGGGCGGCGCGGGCGGCGGCACCGCCTCACTCAAGAGCATGGCGCAGGAGGCCGTGCAGCGGGCGGGGCTGCACGCGCACCACCAGGTACACGCCTACACTCCTCACTTATACCTAATTAGTTTAGTTGAAATTGACCACTGATATAGCGATTTAATATATGCTTTATATTCCAATAGACGTAGATTTCGCATGGGGGGCATCATGGGCGAAACAGTATACTCTGTTATGTCCATGGTACTGCTCATGTCTATAGGCGACTGTTACTACTTTCCATCAGGTGGGCTGTCAGCTTGTTTGCCATTCTAAGTCGTATAAAAAAATAGTTCCATAAAAAAAATTTCGATCTAGTTCGACACTAGAGGGCATTGTAATTATACAATTTATAAATTAATAAATAAACAAAAATATTAATTAATTAATTAATTCCACCACTGTACCTTCGGGGAAATACAAGTCTTGCAGGATGGGTATCTAGGTCCGTCTATTGTGTTACTTTTTTTTTTATACAACAGAATAGCAAACAAGCTGACGGCCCACCTGATGGAAAGTGGTAACTCGTCGCCTATAGACATGAGCAGTACCATGGACATAATAGTTGTTTCGCCCATGATACTAATTGACATTCCTGAGGACTCAGGTGTTATTCCTCTGTACTCTGTAAATTCACGCACATCTTCACAGGTCTCACGGAACGACTTCACTGTTTCTGTGACTGTTCATTCTTCTGGTATTGCAACACTTGAGGGTACAATGGTTGTTAGAGTACATTCATGTCTAAAGGTGCTGGTGCATTTCCAATTATGTGAACCACCAGTGTCTGTTGTATTAACAAATGTTTACACAGGTGATGAAGTGGTGGGCCAGGTTATTTAGTTCTCTAAAATATTGTCGAGCGTCATACTCGTGAACGGATACTGCTCGTAATTTCTTGCCCGCTATTTTGGCTGTAATTGTGCTTCGAATGGGTATTATAATCACGAAAGAGTATTTAATAATGCGTAAATCTAAGTGTACTAGAATAATAGATAGATAGATAGATACTCTTTATTGTTTCCTCCAAAAGATTACAATAGTAAACTTATTATAAATATAAACAATTACAAGAAATAATCACAATGAGAAAACAATGGGCGACCTTATCGCTAAGAGCGATCTCTTCCAGGCAACCTTTGGATGGAGAGGAGTAATTATAAACAATTTGGTGGGAGGCACGATGAAAAATTTTGTTAGTTCTAAATATGGGAGATATGATACATATAATAATATAAATATTATCCCTACTCATTATTATAATAACATTTGTTTCCTCGGTTGGCGGCGCGCGCAGCCTGCAGCGGGCGGTGCTGGCGGTGCCGGTGCCGGCGCTGCCGGTGCGCGGCGGCTGGCGAGCGCGGCCATCCCGCCGCTGCTGGGCGTGGCGCCGCTCGGCCCGCTGCCACTCAACTCGGTCAGTCGCCGCTACTCTACTGCTTCTGCTTCTACTTCTCAGCTTCCTATCATCACGAGCGTTCATAGTCAAGTGTGACAACCTCGCTATTATCTGGCAATTTTTAAAAATGATTGAACAGTTTTTAATGTTTCTAACTGATCGTGCAAAAAGTACTTTATTACCGAATTAAAACTTTAATCGTGAAATAATATTAATAATTATTATATGTATTTGATGCAATCATCATTATCAGCCTTTAACTGTCCACTGCTGGACATAAGCCTCCCTCTTAAAGGGCTTTGGTAATTGCCACACTTGGCAACAGTAGTTAAGACTTTAATAAATGACAATGGAATGGTAATCCCACCTGCGCTATCGGTACATGCTGGCAAGACACCACTAAGGGATGATAGGTGAAGATGACCACTAGCCAATTACCGTCAGGCAAACGGTATACTTTCTTACTATCTTACTAGTACAAAAATGTATATAATAAAGAATGCTACAACATAGCACATTTTTGTACAATATAGCCAGTAAAATATTAATGTAATTGTAGTTTTACTTTATAAGTTTCGTTCGTGTGCTCGCAGGAGCACCAGATGCAGTTCCAAATGATGGAGTCGTCGTTCTACCACATGCCGCACCCGTCCGACTCGGAGCGGACGCGCGTCTATCTGCCGCGCAACATCTGCCAGACACCCCTCTACTACAACCAGGTAACTGACAATGAATCAACATTGGCGTATTTCAATTATATATGTATATATGAAATGTTTATTATTAAGTCGATTGATCGGGTACCTCTGTCCCATTCGTGTTTCTACCGTGAAGCAGTTGTGTTTGCATGGCTGTGTTTCGGTTTGAAGGGTGGGATATGGCGTGAATTTACAGGGTGCAGAGGAATAACATTTGAGTCCTCAGGAATGGCAACGCATGGGAGGTATCATGGGCGAAACAGTATACTTTGTTATGTCCATGGTACTGCTCATGTCTATAGGCGAAGGTTACCACTTTCCATCAGGTGGGCCGTCAGCTTGTTTGCCATTTTATTATATTTATACAAAATACAGTCAATCCGTGTGACCTGTGAAGATCCCAGTGATGCTTTCAGCTATCCGCTAAGATGGTTCACTTGCCGCCTCTTTTCAGTTTTTAATTTTCTATTATTATCAAAATATATCTACATGTAATGAACTCATTTGATAAGTAAATAAATTATTATTTATAATTAGTTGGCAACCCTGTTTCAGGTGCTGCTACCGCACTCGGACTCTGTAGAATTCTTCCAGCGACTGTCGACGGAGACTTTGTTCTTCATCTTTTACTACTTGGAGGGCACCAAAGCCCAATACCTGGCCGCCAAGGCGTTGAAGAAGCAGTCATGGAGGTTCCACACCAAATACATGATGTGGTTCCAGAGGCACGAAGAGCCGAAGGTTATTAATGAGGAATATGAACAGGTCAGAACACAAATAAACATATGAATAAATAAAGTGTGTAGAAGTAGATAGATAGATACTCTTTATTGTTTCCACCAAAAGATTATAATAGTAAACTTATTATAAATATAAACAATTACAAGAAATAATCATAGTGAAAAAACAATGGGCGCCCTTATCGTTAAAAGCGATATCTTCCAGGTAAGGAAGTGCCTATAATATATTACAAATGTGAAAGTGAGCTTGTTACCTCATAGCACCTTAACGTTTAAACCGAATATTATGAAATGGTATACACGTACTACTATATGGTATAGAGTAGGAGATAAGCTACTTTTAATGTTGACCAGTAAAACATTTCCCGGCTACGCGAACTAAGTCGCCTGTAGAACATAATGTTTGTATTCATTGTGAATGTGGAATGTGCCGCCAAAATGTATTATTTTCCTTTCAACAATTCAATAAAAAATAATGTCTTGAATCAATAAATTGTAAATAAATATCGTTTTATTGTATTAGATTTATTTCGATTACAATAATCACACTTAATAGAGTTTTTTTACATTAAAAACTGTTAAAATACCAGCTGTCACTCTCACCATGTCATTCTGCCAGCTCAAGTTATATCACTTGTAATTTGAGTTACTCGATTTTGTGATTATTCCAAGTTGGCACATCTCACGTTGTGACTTGGTACCGCTGCCAGATTCCGCAGTCATCATCATCTTCCTACCCTTATCCCAATCATTTGGGGTCGGCGTAATATGATTTTATCCATATTACAATAAGATTTGGTTTTTAGTTTTACGACCGGCCACCTGCCTGACGTCAACCCTCTTTGCCAGATTCCGCAGTATTTAAATATTTTGTTTTGTTTCAGGGCACTTATATCTACTTTGACTATGAGAAGTGGGGCCAGAGGAAAAAGGAGGGCTTCACGTTCGAGTATAAGTACTTAGAGGACCGTGACTTGAACTGAGCGTGAAGTGTGATGACAGTGAGTGTACGACCGCGGGACGGACCTAGCAGCCGCAGTGCAATAGTTTTGGAGTCGACTCGCTGCCGTGCGTGTGAGTGTACCCACGAGGCTTACCAAGTGAACACGAATCCATTCCGTTGAAGACAGTATTCTTAATTTAATCAGTGCAGTACTGTGATTTAGTATCACTATTGTAAAAAACTTGCAATTTCCCTGGCAGTTGTTAATACAATGTTTTATAGTGTGATGTGAGAGCCATGTCGTCGGTTGTTATAAAAACCAATGTGATATTGATGTAGTACCGGCCGCCCCCGGCGGTGACAGCCCCGGCCCGACTGCTGAACGTTTTACACTCATCTTCCTATTGATCACATGAGTAGCGGTCGGGGCGGGGACGTCGCGGGGACGTCGCGGTCCACTGTCCGCCGGGTAGCATGTTGCGTCACGTTGACTAGTTTATGAATTATTATTTTTGTCTGATGTCCAAGTTAGACATGTTATAGTAAGTAGATGTTGTAAGCTAGCTGTTAAGTGACTGTGTTATGAACGTATTTTGTACGCGATGTTGGACACCACAACGGCAACATGCCGCCCCGTGGACCGGCTGTATTGTAGCATGAAAACTACTGGCGCTGTACGCACACCACGTCGACACTCGTGCCCTCTTGCGGCGAACGGATCCTCCTATTTGTATCGAGCCGGAAATAGAGTAACGCACAACGAATCTGAATCAGTTATTCTATTTCGTAATAATTTATTTTTACTAACATTAATTGTAAGTGCCCACTCGTTGAATAGTTCAATTACGTTGAACAATAGATGTGTGAATTTAAACGTCGCGTAGTATGCGTACAATCCAGCGATCTTTGCTAGTCTTAGTATCTCATAGCGCGTGCCTAATATAAGTCACAATTAGGTGCCGAGGGCGACCGGCTTTGTTTTAACTTTTGTATAGTACGGGATAGTATGGAATTGTTTTATTGCCGACTTGCGCATACCGCCTGACCGTTGCTATAAGAGAATGTAGAATGATAAATACTAATTAATGTAAAGGACATATTTTTTTTTCATTTCATTTCCTCTTGTCGTTGTAACTTATGTATTTTATTCCAGCCAGTTCTATCCCATGCCATATTTTTTACCTACCTATACGACATGACACCTAGTGTTTCCCTTATCTGTCCCATGTATTTAGTTATTACTCCTTTTCAAGATTGGACGGATAGGTTTATTAAATGAATTTTGTAATATTTTAATTCCAAAGTTTATTATCGAATTTAAAACAGTTCCTTTATATTTTAAATAAAATTATTTTCATTAACACTTAAAATGTCCTTTACATTGATTAATGTTTTTGTTAATTTTACTTATTTTCAGAATAACATCAAATAGAATTTAAGTAAAAACAAAAAAAGTGGACTGAGAAATCTACGTGCTCTTTGCAAATATGAACACCTGGTAAACTGGATGACTGTAACAAAAGCAGTGCAAAATCAACGATATCAAATTAAGATAATTATCAATCAAGAAAAAATAATAAAAAAATATTTTATTTGTATGTAAAAATTGTCATCTGGTTCCATGTGTACGGTCAACGTAAGAAGTGATCACGTCTCGCGCGAGAGGTGATCGCGTCGCGGTGTGCGCGAGGTGGCTCCCAGCTGCATGTAGGCGATACAGTGTAATTTCGTTAGTAATGCTAAGTAATACACTTTTTCACCTCCGTTTGAAGGAATTACTCTAACATGTGGTGTTATAATGTACATTTAATTTTAACAAGAGCATTTGTTGAACAAAACATAAATTATGTAAGCGCATGTATAGAACACTGCCACGCTGTTTGTATTATATGTGGTTAATTAGAATTACGTCGATATAAATTGTACTTATTTATTTGTGATAAATTATTGTACGGCAAGCGTCCGCTCTTGTTGCGGGGTGAAAGAGTCTATTATTGCTCGCGAAACAGTTCGTGTCCGCAATAGATATATATACTGCCAGACGGTAATGCCTTCATTGTACAATCAGTGAGACACCAAATACGTTTTCCAATTTTATGCGACCATAGTGTTTATAGACGACGGCCAGAATTGTTGCACGCACGTCGCGCGGCCGACGCGGCGTCGCGTGGCCGCGCGGTCGCGCGACGCGGTGTCGCGTTGTGGCGCGGCGGCGCGGCGACGCGGCGACGCGGAGCCGCGATGGCGCGCGACGGCGACGCCGGCGGCCGCCAGCTCGCGGACAGCGCGCGATCTCGTTAATTACGTGCGTCATGTTGATAGTTTCCACTTTTGTAAAAAGTCGTGAGGAGATGAATTGTCGTAAATATTAATTTAAAAAATTATCTGTACAGTTCTATTTGTATAGAAATAATAAATAATGATTAAAAAATTTTAAACATGTTATTTCTCTTACGAACTTTTCTAATGGATGGTGATAGAATGGTGCTCCCGCCAGTGGAAAATAGGATGAAACTATGAGGATGAGGACAAGACTTGGTGTATCGTGGCAAATTCACTACATATTAACCACGATGGTTTTCAGGGAGACCGCGTGGAGGTCGATCTGATAATACCTTATATTGCTAGCAATGGAGACTTAAAGCCCCATTACTCACAATCCCGTCCCTTATCTCTCTTACGATTAGCTACAATAAGTTGTCGCTCGACCAGACACGGCGCTACATTTCCCTTTTGTTTTTCATATAAGAAGTATTTAAAAATTTTATAACTTTTTTGTCAAATGTTTCTGAATATGCAGATTAAAATTATTTGCAGTGCAGTTTTAGTTTACTGTCTAGACATAATGTAAGGCATGGGTCACCACCACTGGATAGCGATCTGTATTCGATTAATCTCATCCGAAATTATATTCGGATGTCGAAAGGTACTATAAAAGATACTATTAAAAAATGGTGCTGGTCTTTACTAACATTTTTTTTAATGGGTAAAAATGGTATGGTAACCTCGCCTGCGCTAACGGGATACGCTGGCGGAGCACCAGTGAAGGGTGATAGATGAGAATGAAAATAGGCCAGTTAGCCCATCATGATGAATTCATGATAGTTTCCAGGGAGAACCGCGAGGAGGTCGTCCTGGTTGAGTATATTGCTAGCAATGGGATTCTCAGTCTCCATTACTAACAATCCCTTTCCCCCCTTTACTAACATTATAAATGTAAAATTGAGTATATTTGTTACCTATACTGCCTAACTGCTTAACCAATCCCCTCTAATTTAGATATACATATGTACTATATGGGATAAAGAAGGATATAGACTACTTTTTATCCCGATCATCGGAATAAAGTACTGCTTTATTTTTCCTCTATTAAAAAATGGACCGCCTACTTTTTTCTCGGTTTGCCCAATGGTTTACTGGTAGAGAACACCGTCCGGTGTCAAGTCCGCCAAATGAACATAGAATTTTACTGTGCTTTAAAGTTTAAATTAATAAAATGGCGTGTAAAAGCTATTTAAAAATATCTACCTACAGGTGTCACTGCTGAAGAGTATGTTCAGACCATCATCATCCGAAATGAAGTAATTACTACGCATAAGCTGCAGATAGATTAGTTTTGATATTAATGTAAAAAATCAATAATTGTTTTCCCCAAAAAAATCAACTTCAGTTTTGCCAAAACTTTTGTGATTACTGTACCGATTTTGATAAAATGTCTATGGGACCAATCTGCAAGATATACTTGCTTGCTTACAGAAAAAAAAAACTAAATTGGTTTACAACTGACGGTCTTATAAAAGTAACAAACAGAAAAAAATTAACCAAATAACAAACTAAGAACATCCTTTTCGAAGACAATTGTAAATTGTAAATTTAGGATCTCAATTGAAGATTTAAAATTTTTTTGTAAATAGCAAAATGGATGAGTTTAACAATTAGAATATTTTATATAGGATAATTGTTATCTTAGTTCACATGGAAAAAATCCGAGGTTTACTGTCACTACGGAATAAAACGCCAGTTTTAATTTGACCATTATATTAACGCTTTCTCTTCTTGGCGGCGTGTTTGTTCGGCTTGCCCTTGATGCGGCGCCGCACGCCGGCCGCTTCCTCCGTGTCGTCCTCGGAGTCTCCGCCGCCGCCTCGTTTCTTGCCCTTCATATTCTTTTTATCCGTTAGCTCTTTCATTTCCTGCAATACAAATGGCCCATTTTATTTATGAAAAGCAAAATAAATTAAATTTTTCTAATAATTTGAGAATTAAAAGATGATTTGGTTCGCCGATTTCGCCGAGGAAATTATAAAAGTTGTAAAAAAAAATACACTAACAATGTTAGTGAGCCGCTGCGCTTCAGCGACGCGCTCCTGCAGCACCATCACCTCGCTCTCGTCCGTCTTGTACAGCGGCAGCTGCTTGCCGATTAGCTGCTCGATCCGCTGGTACAGCTCCACGTCGTACTAAATATTGATCATATAGCATTGATTAGTATCGATCCATAATTATAATTTCGCTTATGATTATGAGTTTTGCCTAGACTGGTTTTTCATTAAACTTGGCACAGTAAACAGGCTAACGGCTCACCTGATGGAAAGTGATGGTCCATAAATATGGTTATGTACATCACAGGATATAGTTTCCTATCAAACCCTGTTACTAACAATTTCTTTTCATTTCATTATATTAGCTTTATTACCATCATCATGACGACATATTATTATGTCTACCACTGAACATAAGTGATCATTAAGGTTATGGATCACGCGAGAATAATATATAAAGGGATCTGAGGATTCCAAGATCAAATCCTAAACTAAAGCACTGAATTTTGTATATAATATTTATAATAATATTTTGATAATTTAAAAATGAATTATCGCTTACTTAGTGCTTCAAGGACCACAATTCGATATAACATAGCCACGGCAAATGCCTTCGTGTAATAAAAGCAGTCTAAAAGATCTTGATACTAGATGGCGTTACCCTACGAGTTTTAGTCAGTATTTCTCACTGGTGCCTCACCTGTGTATACCGTTAGCGCCAATAGAATTCCCATTACATTATCATCCATAAAAAAAAGAAAATAATGTATAATGTAAATTTATAATCAGTTTGGCGACCGACAATCAGGTACCTGCGACACGAACGTGATGGACTTGCCGGCGCGGCCAGCGCGCGCCGTCCTGCCAACGCGGTGAATGTAGTCCTTACTGTGTAATGGGATGTCCAGGTTGATCACAACGTCCACGTGTGGGATATCTAGACCTCTGTACAATGGGAGACAATATTAAAATAATATATCTTGGTATAAAATCAAATTGATTATTGATATCAGTAAGTGGATATATTTACTTTTAAACGGATATTTACTGTATATTATGATAACTGTTACCATTTAAGTTATATCACAAAACATAACGCAAAGAACACAACAATCGGCATCAGCAGTTGATAATTTGTTGGTGGATCCTTAGAAACTTGTGAGTAATAAATAATATCTCACCTGGAAGCGACATCAGTGCAAATCAGTACGGATCTGCTCTTGTTCTTGAACTTGTTGAGTGCAGCGAGCCGCTTGTTCTGCGACATCTGGCCGTGCAGCGGCACCGCCGGCAGCCCCAGCTGCCGCAGCAGCAGCGCGCATCGTAGAGCATTCGCGCACGTCGCCACGAACACGATAAACGAGTTGCCCGACATCTCGTTCAGAATGTGCACGAGATATACGTCCTGTTTGATGCCAAGAATGAAAAGAATCATCAAAGAGAAGTAATATAATATAGAAATAATACCCAAATATCAATTAAAATAGTAAATTATATTAATATAATAAAGCATAATGATAATACTACTAAAATAAAAGTATATTTATTTATTAATTCAATTTAATAATAAGAATAATAAGATTTCTCAACATCACATAATATCAGAGAAAATGTATGCAATTATGTAACATATGAAAACATTTTAAAATTTTTGTGTACATCCATTATATTGTCACAAAAAACAACCAATGTTAAACACAAAGGATGTTGCAATAAATAAAAAAAAAAAAAAATAAGAAAATTTATTTAAAATAGATTAATTAGGGATTTAAATTTTCTGTGGGTGCAGTAATAATATTTTAACCAACTCATTTCTTTTCATTAGAATTTCTATCCACCCCATAAAACGTGAAGTTACGATAAATAAGGGCTAATATTAACTAAAATATTATCATACCTTATATTTGACAGGTATAAAAATGTAGTACTGCTGAAGTTTATCCACCGTTTGATATTTCGTGGATACTTCAACTTTCACGGGGTCCTGGAGGGACGCCCGCTGGAGTTTCTGTACTTTCTTTGTCATGGTGGCAGAGAACAGGTACGTGCGTCGCTCGCGTGGTATCACGCGTAGGATCTTGTCCACTTCCACCTCGAAGTCCATATTGAGGATACGGTCTGCTTCATCCATCACCTGTATGTAAGTAATAAATGTTGAATTAATGGAATAATGAAGCATATCATAACATGAAAAATTCTTATTTATATTTTATGCAGGGTAAAATTAAAGTCATTAAACAGGGTGAAAGGAACACGTTGGCGAAAATTAAAACAGCTGATTCAGATGTATGGTATTAATCAGTTGGCAGATTATTTCCCCATCAAATATACACCAGTCATTCAATTAACGATTCTTAGTTTTGACATCACTCAATGTATGTGATACCTACAAGGAGTGCTCAATAGAGCTTTTTCATAGATAGTATTATATAATTTTAACATCAAATTTGTGTTTCATTGGACCTCAAAATTTCAGAAAAATATCATGATAGGCATTCTAGATTTTTTTTTATGGGTGAAAATGGTGTGGTAGCCCCTCCTGCGCTAACGGGATACGTTAGCGGAGCACCAGTGAAGGGTGATAGATGAGAATGAAAACAGGCCAGTTAGCCCATCATGATGAATTAATCAGGAATTAACCATGATAGTTTCCAGGGGGAACCGCAAAGACGTCGACCTGGTTGGGTATATTGCTAGCAATAGGATTCTCAGTCTCCACTACTAACAATCCCTTTCCCCCCAGACATTCTAGATTAGATATACTCGTATATATAGAGAGTAATCTCCATGAATTACAAAAACTTTATTTCTTACTCAATCATGCATAAATATATCTTTTAAATACTAGCCAGATATTTGAGCGCTTTCAAATTGAAGCCCTTTGTGTTCTCAAGGTGGTCCACCAATCGTCCCGGGGTGGCGATGATGATGTGGGGCTTTTTTGACAACATGAGAGCCTGTGCCACCATATCCATGCCTCCCACTATGACTGCACATTTCACTCCTATGCTCGCTCCTGCAAATATACACAGCATGTTATATGTTTCTATACAATAGCTAGAGGTACCCTGTTGTTTTTATTATGTATTGTCTAGAAAGGTGTCATAATGTAACTAGGTATAAGTTTTGGTATATGTAATACTTCTGTTCTAAGTCTCTATCTCATTTTGGTAATAAATACTTTTAACTTTTTACAATACAGGGGGCAATCGAGCATGCGGCGCACCTGATGGTAAGTGACTACCGCCGCCCATGATCACCCACAACACCTACGGCTGTGCAGGTATGCTGCCGGCCTTTTAAAAAGGAATATGCTCTTTTTTAAGGTTATGTTGTCGTATCTAGCTTTTACTAGCGATTTCAAATGTGATAGATCCTACCCAACCCATATAGTATGTGTATACTGTTTCAAAATGCTGTTAAGGTGCTATAAAGTAACAAACAAACTCATTTTAATATTTATAATATTAGTAAGGATTTTTAGTATGGAAAACTAGCTGTGCTAACAACTAAGTCCAGTGACTGAGACATACTGAAAGACCAGGGTAAACCTTATACTCTTCTTCATGTTAATTATGTGAATGCTAAATCACTTTTTTTCATTTGTTAATTTCATGACAATTATTTGAATTATTATAATTTAAATAATTTCAGAATATAAGTAAGAATCCTTTTTATTTGAAAAAAAAAATGTGATTTAGATATTAGCACCTTTATCTTATTCATGTTTCAGTTTAAAGAATACTTGATAGTAAAATTACAGGATACAGTGGCATGCCATATTAGTCCTCATAAATACATAACTAATGTACAATATGTGCCATGTCTCATTACAGTATATTTTGCAATATCTGTTCAAGTCTACAGCCAATAATTACCATTTCCGATCACATTTGACATCAGCATGTCCACCATTCTAAAAATCATAAAAAAAAACTAGAAATAAACTTACCAAGAGCTTCAAATTGTTCTGATATCTGGAATGCTAGCTCTCTGGTCGGTGTCAGGATGAGAGCAAAGTATCTCTGTGGGTTCTCTAATAGCGCTTGTAGAATCGGTAATGCAAATGCTCCTGTTTTCCCCGACCCTGTCTCTGCTAAGCCAATAATATCTTTTCCCTGTAAGGCTAATGGTATTGCTTCCTTTTGGATTTTTGATGGTTGTTTCCATTTCAATTCTTCGCAAGCTTCACACAGAACGTCTACCACTCCCTAAAACCAGTTAAGTATGAAATTATTGTGTGTTTGAGAAAATATAACCTATATTCCTTTAATTATTAATATAATTAAAATGTTTAATATTTTCATAGTAGTTTGTAATAAAAAGTTCTAGTAAATGTAATTTGAATGCCTTACCAAATCCTTAAAAGTTACAGTTTCCTCTTCATTTTTATCTTTTTCAATCTCTGGTTGTGATTCTTGTTCTTCTGAATTTTGATTTTCATCACTACTTTCGTTTTCTGGTGTCATGTTTTAATTAATTCATCAGAGTTTATTGGTGAGATAATACGTTATTGTTATCATAAATATGTAAACAATAGAAACAGGGAAACAAAGAAAGAATTTTATATTCGCATGTTTTTAAAAACATGTGGTAAATTCTGGAATTCCGGACTAGATCATTAAACTGACAGTGACAGTAGATAGCGAGGCAACTGACAGTAAACTAATATTTACCTATTGACAGATATTACTCAATGATTGTCAACTATTGAATTTTTTACCTTAATGTGACATGGAACCATAATTTTTATATACTTTACGTTAACATTTTTATTTTCTTTATGAAAATTTGCGTATAAATTAATGGTTTAAACTGGTTAGGCATTAAAATTATGATACACATACCAGTAGTATTTAAGTTGAGTACTCGAGTACTTAATAATCGAGTCATCACTAGAATGAGTAAACGGTTAGATTGACTCGCCTAACCACATCACTAGTTCTGTATATTGTGGCCTTAAAAGATACATCCAAAGCCGTAAACATATCACAAAAAAAAAATTGTACTGAATTTTAAGGTTACAAAATTGTTTATAAATTCACATTTTCATTTTAACCTAAGAATTTTCTATATACGATGGCCAAGCATCATCCAGATCTTATCTTTTGCAGAAAACAGCCAGGCGTAGGTAAGAATACTAATACCATTTATTATTTTATACTACCTAATTTTGTTTTAATCATTTTACGTTTGTAATTGATTAGAAATCATTTACTAAAGTAAATAACTTTTAGACTTTTGCGCTACATGTTTTATTATTTATAGGAAACGAGAATTAATTTACTAAAAGTATTTTTTTTTACAGCTATTGGTCGTCTGTGCGAGAAATGCGATGGTAAATGTGTTATTTGTGATTCATACGTGCGGCCATGTACCTTAGTGCGAATATGTGATGAATGCAACTATGGCTCCTACCAAGGAAGATGTGTCATCTGCGGCGGTCCCGGAGTCTCCGATGCTTATTATTGCAAGGAATGTACCATTCAGGAAAAAGACGTGAGTAATGAAACTAGTAATGACATCTAATTAATAGTACTTATAGTGGGAATTGTTAGTAATGAGGACTAGTGCCCTAATTGTTTTTTTAATGGATAAAAATGATATGGAAATCCCATTACCCAAAATTTTTTGCAGGTCTAGCTGCCTGTATGTATATTCAGACATCACCCAAAAACTGCTGCACTAAATTGAATGCAGTGTGACAATTATGTCCTTATGGTCGAACTTAAAATTGGATGTTTTGTTATCTATTTTCCAAAACCTGATATGAATTATTTATGCCAGCATTACTCATGTTTTAAATTTCAAATTGCTAAACTAGTTTAAAACTTAATGCCAATTTTTTTTATATCAAAAAGGTGGCAAACAAACACAGTTCGTCTGATGGTAAATGGTCATGGCTTGTGGATGCTTGTAGCACTAGGGGTGTCACTTGTGCATTACCAATCCTGACAAAACCTTAATTTACTCTTTTTGAAGAAGCCCATACTGTAGTCTCTATGTAAAATATCAGTAATAAGCTTATTCCACAGCCCAAGCATACATGGGAGAAAACTCCTTTGAAACCGCACTATATGTAATTAGGTTCTAGTGTGTGAGGATGAAATCCTTGTGGATGGTGCGCTGTGCGATGTTAAAAAATGACTGTGGATATCACTTCGAACAATTCTTCAGAAGATAATCTGTTATACAAGCAGTAGAAGATATAAAGAAAGGCAGTCTTCTTAGAGTTAAGGGCTTGATACCCTCTGTGAGCTTAGAATTGTCAATGATTATCAATATCAATTTAAAACATTAGTAAAACCAACTTAATTAATTGCAGTAATATAATATTTTTACATTTAGCTTTATTTACTAAGGAATGAATTTTAATTTAACATTATTTTTGTTTCAGAGGGATGGTTGTCCAAAGATTGTGAACTTAGGAAGTTCAAAGACTGATCTGTTCTATGAACGGAAGAAATATGGCTTTAGAAGACATTAGCAGTAGTGTTACATTTTTAGTTATTAAATTTGTATTTTTACTTATAAGGCATCTTTTGTACTGATTATTATTGAGTGCCAGTTTTGAAAGGATTAAAACTAAGATTTCTCTGTTTCATAGGAGTGATTTATGTCTATTGTTAACATATCTTTGGGAATTCAGAGCTAATTTTAGTACGTATTTTTCATTTGATAATTACTGTCTCGGTGATTTCATGATGGACTGCTATCCTTGAAAACGGCAATAGTTGCCTGTGAATATATAAAATAATGTTCTTATAATATTTTGAGTCTCAAGGCATACATAATATCACTCTTTTTGAGGTCTATGGTACACCCAAAAAATTTTACTAGAAATATTACAATGCAAACCCATTTGAAGATGGAGCTTCTTAATTAGATAGTATCTTGTGTATATGTAAGAAGACTTTTAAATGAATTTTGCACCAATTTTAATGATTACTTTTGTAAATGTACTATCATGGTTAAGAGGTTAACAAACAAAACCTTAAATCAATCTTAAAAATAATGCAGACATTGTAAATGAACTAAGTAATTGAAGTTTAAGAACACCTAGATCTGAGGCAATTTGAGACTTTGGTGTTATCAGACTTCAATCGTATAAAATTAGGTTATTAACCTACTTCATAGATAACTAGGAGTCGTAGATATAACGTAGTTACCAGTACGTGACCGGTATATATTTAATGACCGAGATAAAACGTACCTATATCCTTCTAAGTCTTTCATAGTACGTGCATTCCGAATTTTATGGTGATGGGTTAAGGCGTTAAGGCGTTATAAGGTAACAAACAAATTCACTTTCACGTTTATAATATTAGTAAGGATAGAATTATAAATCTACTTAGTCTATTCTTATATATTCATCCTGTATGAACTCCAATCCTTCTTCCAAATATTCTTTCTTTTCCATTTAATTCCGTATATATTTCTAACCTTTGCCATTGGCTGAATACAAAGGCAAAGCCAATAAAAAATATATAATAATCAGTAAATCAAAACAAATCAAAATTTCTTTGATTCTTCTTTCTATAACTATACATGATTTTGACATTAAAATGTAAAATTCGATTCTATTATCATGTTTATTTTTCCATCTCGAACCTTTCCAGAATAGGACACTTTTTTAAGATTTTATTTTTATACAATTTAGAATGGCAAACAAGCTGACGGCCCACCAGTTCCACGAAAAAAAAAAATCGTGGCATAACCAGTTATTTTGTTTTTAATACTTAACTCTTGAACCGATCTTAATAAAATTTCTATCGACATAACACGAAGGAATTTCTCTGAGAGTCGATAACTAGACTACCAGCGCTATAATGGATAGAAAATAAATACAATTTAACCTCTTAACTACACTCATTTTTATTTCATTTCACATATAATTTAATTTATTCTATTTCTATATAAAACAAAAATAAAATATAATTTTCATCTTGTTAAAATACTATTTTACAATACAATATCTACAGTATTCTACAAGTTTACACAACAACATTATTGTCAAAGCATTTCTAACTAGTTACCTATTATGCATATTATAAAAATATTTACATTTTATTAAGTTAGTGCAAATATGCATCTACTATATCATATCATATCATATACTATATTATATCATTTTGGAGCTGATGCTCTATCTAGATTTTATAGGTCAGGTTGAGTTCAACTAAGCAAGTAGCAAATATAGTCAGTAGGTACGTTGTCGCTACCGCGTGTAAGAATTAGAACGAAATAACAAGCAACATTCAGCGCCATTTTCTTATATGTACGCACGAAAACGTGTCTATCGACAGATTCGATTGCTACTTTACTACACATATTTCGATCTCGATCAGTTACCGTACTAACTGAATAGGATGAATAACTCTTAATTTTTCATTTAAACATAGTCCTTTCCCAAAGACTGCCATAAGGAATGGGCCTGAAGCACTGATTTCCTGCAACACTGTCCTTACTGGTGGTTGCTCTGCAAGTTTACCTATACGAGATTGTTACTCGAGCGATAATTGGTTCTTCGAGCAATATGGCCGATCCATTACCACTTATTATATCACAGCACAACTCTGAATATAAACTTCAAAGGTCATGTTTTTTATGGAACTCATAGTAACAAACTGACCATCCACCTTTTTTTTTATACAACTTAGAATGGCAAACAAGCTGACGGTCCACCTGATGGAAAGTGGTAACCGTCGCCTATAGACGTGAGCAGTACCATGGACATAACAGAGTATACTGTTTCGCCCATGATACCCCCATGCGTTGCCATTCCTGAGGACTCAGGTGTTATTCCTCTGTACCCAGTAAATTCACGCCACCTGATGGAAAATGGTAACCGTTGGCTATACACATGGGACTACATCATGGGCATAACAATATACTTAGATGCTCATGGTTACAGGGGTACCATTATCATGGAAAGGATAATATATACCCCAGGCGAGGAGAAAGAGATTGTTTAAAATGGAAATCTAAAAGCTCTATTGCTAACAATAGCAATGTGCCATATTAGGTCGACCTCAACGTGGTTTCCTGGAAACCATCTTGGTTCTTGTTACATTTGTCACGATGAGCCAACTGATCTACTATCATCCTTCACTGGTGCCCCGCCAGCGTATACTGATAACACAGGCGGGGCTGCCATATCATTTTCACCCATTAAATATACTTCAGATGTATTATTCTGCCATTATAGAAAGCGTAGCGGTTTTTGTATTAATTGCCGCATGCATTCTTATGTAAAATGTGAATACTATAACTATCAGATGGCAATTGTGAGTAGCTTTGACGTGGTCTAGTGTTTTGAGTAGTCATGCTCACTAAAATGTCCAGACTTGTGGCGGCGTGGTGGGCCGGGTCATTGGGCTCCCTAAAATATGTTCGAGCGCAGTGATGGCTGGCTCATCCGTCATACTCGTGAACAGGTGCTGCTTGTAGGGACTGGTCTGCTCTAATCACTATGACTGATTTCCTCTTATTAATTGTTTAACCAGTTGGTTATGTATTCAATATTTTTTCTTTTTGAGTATTTAATTGAATTAGTGCTAATTGGTGGTTTGTATTCACACACTTAAAAATGTAAAGTAATAATAAAATTATTTAAAAGAGCAACACGCAAGTTTCTTGCTCGTTCTTCTTGTGATGAGACAGCTTTCCGAACGAGCGGTAGATTAAAAAAAAATGTAATGACTATTCAAAAGTGCTTCAATGTAAGTTTATTTGAATAAATGATTTTCTATTCTATTCTATTCTATTATAAGGTTTTCATGTTCTGAGGATATATGTAGTATCACTACCTAGTTTGTTCTCAGGACTTTTTAATGGATGATAATGGAACAGTTACCCCGCCTACGCTATCGGTATACACTGGCGGGGCACCAGTAAGAGATGATAGATGATGTTAAAGCAGGTCAGTTGACCCATAACATCAGGCGCACGCTCCATATTTAAGTCGGGGCCCGCAAGCCGGTGCAGGCCAACGCCGTTGGGACTCGGTGGACTACGAAAGGGAACCCGGGTTCCCAACATTATGGCGCGGCGTGGGATGCCGTGATGGTTTTAGCCGGTTGGAGTCCGGCAGTACCCATACGCCTCTCCCGGGGCGTTTGGGTCTGCATGATGCATTTCCCCACGAAAAAAAAAAGTTCAGTTGACCCATCGTGACGAATTCAACAATAAATCAATCACGATGGTTTCCAGGGGAACCGCGTTGATGTCCACTTAATAGGTGTATATTGCTAGCAAAGTGATTGCTATTTTCCATGATTACCAATCCCTTTTACCTCCGTGCTCCAAACTAAGCTAGGTATTCATTGATTTATCTGAAGTTTTTCTATGACGTTTATATCAAATAATTTCTGAGATCACATAGTGGGAGGCTCTTTGGATTACAAATATTGGTTCTAGCTATATCTACTGGCGAGACTGCTGGCCGTCGATGTGGCGGGGTTGGTCCAAATGTTGGCCTCGCTTGAACTGACGTCGGAGTACGCCGGCCGGGCGGGAATTATTGGTGATCTAATACAAACACTGTAAATTGAAGTCAATTTAGCCTGATCATATAATGGTAAGTGTGAATGTTACGAAAGCTGTTTTCATATATTTTATTATGGTCATTGTAATCATCAGCATCATCACCATATCAGACGTTAACTGTCAACTGCTGAACATAGGCCTCTCTCTACTTGAGGATTTTGCCAACAACAGAGGCGGGTTGGCAACCGTTGTTTGGCTTTGGTGATGTTTTATGAGGGACACTTGGCCACCTCTCGACCGTTAAGTTTCCTTCTTTGCTTCTTAAGACACCCACGGGAGAGAAAGGGGTGAGCATAGCTTGATAATAATTGTAAATTACTTAGTTGTTTTTCTTTGTTAAACGTATCAATTGTTGTTGTAAAAATACAAAATATATGTCAAGGTATACAATAGGTCAGTGTTAAATTTATATTTGTATTTCCTGAAGTTGGTATTCAAAGCCATTCGTAGCTATTGTATATCGATTAAAATGAAATTTGGTACAAATCTACAGTCATGTCCTTAAATGTAATGTCATGAATTCGTTGGTGACTGATATGTTGGCGTATTTTTTATAAGCTTTTTGGCGACTGATGGAAAAACTCAATAATGAGATTAATAGTAATACTTTAGGAAGAAACTCATTCAGACAAGCATATTTCGACAGTATAATATGTTCATGATATCAGTAAATAATATATATATTATTCTAAATCACACGTGATAATCGGTGCTTTTAGTTTTTAATATTTTTTTTTAAATGCCATTATCACCCCATTTGAGCAAAATTTATTATATTATCTATCGACTAATAGATATGACTGAATTATATTAAATATGTATTTCACAGCTATAAAGTTTTATATTAAGTTAACCATTTTAGGACAGCAGAAAGAGCTCCATTTGCTTCGTTTGAATTTTAAGTGTGATGTTTAACTTTAAATTTTCACGAAGTATCATCGATAAACAGAACTATATCCGCTATCCTCTCTACCATACAGGGGAGGTCATTTATGTAAATTAATAACAAAAAAGGGGCCTAGTAATTGTTTTTCAGATTAAAGAAATTAAATTTTAAATTTTGCGACCAATTTTGACTATCTAACTAATGACAATTTCAAAAAAAAAAATTCTAGCTGTATGCTCACTGATTCTTTAGAAATGGTCATGTAGGTTCATTCTAATGAGGCCATCTAATCACTTTAAATTGCATAGACGGACAAAGTTTAATGATTTTCTTTTAAATTTAAATATAGAATATAGATGAATGATTATTCTATATTATTTAAATATAGAATAAATGCATTTTTCTATTCCCACAGAATCAATTCAATTTGCAAACTACCCAGCCAGAAAGAGTCACCCAAAGATCTAGAAATTTGGCTCAAATGAAGTCGATAAACATGCAGATTAGAAAAATGTTTAGTCAAATATTTTAGTTTCCATAGCATGTGGTTTGTGATAATCATGCAGCTGTCAGCAGTTATATGCTGTGCCACTGACCTCCGCGTCTTAGGACATCAGCTCAGTCCGAACATTGTCCTAGGAACAGTATTAAATTAATTATTTTATATTTCACCTACTGGGAACCTTCCTACTGATGATATGAATGAAAGCGGTAGCAGTCTCTTATTATAAACAGTGTTTTTTTTTTATTGGTAAAAATGGTATGGTAATCCCGCCTGCGCTAACGGGATACGCTGGCGGAGGACCAGTGAAGGGTGATCGATGAGGATGAAAAGAGGCCAGTTAGCCCATCATGATGAATTCATCAGGAATTAACCATGATAGTTTCCAGGGAGAACCGCAAGGAGGTCGACCTGGTTGGGTATATTGCTAGCAATAGGATTCTCAGTCTCCATTACTAACAATCCCTTTCCCCCCAACAGTGAATTATTGGTCAACTGTACAATTCACAACAGTCCTTATGCATTAGCATTCATGAAGCCAAAAGTGATACCTTTTCTACCAGAGATTGTATTGGCTATATTCGAAGTTAAAGTCAAAGATAACAAATATGTTCGCGTATTATATGTAGGTACATTGTTTTTGTATGAATATAAAATTGTGTGAATACCTGGTTGGAACTGTTTTGTGTGGATTTAGAGACGTCTAGGATTTAAACGAGAAAACAACTTTACTTGACTTCCAAAAGACATCCTCTTAGGAAACTTCAAAGAGATCTCTGGGTATTAGGATTTGTAATTATAAAGTAATAATTTTTAGGCTATATCCTTTAGGCCAAGTCGAATAATCTGTTGTACACTGGATTACGAGTAGAAGGAATAAACACTGTAACTTACGAATTGACATCTTCTAATTTCTTCAACAGCCTCTCGTTCTCCCGGCTCAGTAACTCTTGGTCTTTGAGGAGTTGGTCCCTCACACTGAAGAGTTCAGTATTCTCGTTTCTCAGCGCCGAGTTCTCCTCCATGTGCAGTTGCACCAGCTCAAACAATTCTGTTTGTGGCAGCTGATATAGTTTGTTGGGTTCGATGCGGGTTGGAGTGCGACTTCGTTGATCTATAAATTAAGGAGTTTTTAGTTTTAATATAAATATAACGTCAAGCAGGCGGATGGTCGTAAAACTAAAAGTTAAACCCTTAGGTAATGGGGGAAAAGGGATTGTTAGTAATGGAGACTAAAAATCCCATTGCTAAAATATACCCAACCAATAAATCGACCTAGTCGAAGATTCTCCCTGTCTATCATGGTTAATTCTGATGAATTCATCATGATGGGCTAAAAAAGTTGTTTTCATTCTCATCTATCACCCTTCACTGGTGCTCCGCCAGCTGTATCCCGTTTGCGCGGCTGTGTTTCCATTCCATTTTCATCAACCAAAAAAAATCCTTAGGTAATAAGGATATTATGTTGACCCCAAAATTTATGTAATTGGGATAAGGTTAGGAAAATAAATATAAATTTAGTGAAGATTTTTCTACGATTTTGAGATACTAAGTTTGATATTTGGGCTGAAAAAAAGTTGTAATTAAGTATATGTTCGAATATCTATCATAGAAAATAGAATGGGATTCCATCAAACGAGGTGTCATTGAAGACTTCTCTTTAATTTTTAATACTATTATTTGTAATACTAGTATTTGTCAGAGATATTGAAACAAATACATATTAACACATATTACACTATAAAATACAATTACAGTATAGGATTGTTCCACGGCGCCACATTAAGATTTCTTCAGGCTGACAACGTGTACGTGACACTGGCAATGTTGATGTTTCTTGGCTACGGTAATCATTCACTATCATACAGAGCAGTATATTAAATTGCCCTCTTTGAAGTATAAAAACATACTCACTGTAGTCTATGTTGTAATCAGTTTGTACATGTAACGCTGTTCTTAGATGCTGGTTCTCCGCTTGCAATGCTTCAACTTCTCTTTTCAAGCTCATTATAAGTGCATCTCTTGCATCCTGGAAAGAATATTTCAGAAGATGCATTAACTTCAATTTCATGGGTAGATCCGTTATTTGATGATTGTGTAAACTTTACACAGAAAACCAAATAGTTATATGTATTTTTTTTTTTACTACTTAGAATGGCAAATAAGCTGACGCCCCACCTGATGGAAAGTGGTAACCGTCGCCTATAGACATGAGCAGTACCATGGACATAACAGAGTATACTGTTTCGCCCATGATACCCCCCCCCCCCCCCATGCGTTGCCATACGTTGTGATACGACACGCCGTGACTTTGTACAAAAGTGGATTGCTACAGAGGAATGACACCATGGCTGTGTTTCAAGGAATGGCAAATTTACGGGTACAGAGGAATAATACCTGAGTCCTCAGGGAGTATCATGGGCGAAACAGTAAACTCTGTTATGTCCATGATACTGCTCATGTTTATAGGCAACTGTTACCACTTTCCATCAGGTGGGCCGTCAGCTTGTTTACCATTTTCAGTAGTATAAAAAAAGCAACTGAATGGTCGAAAGATGGGCAGCAGCGTCTCTCTTAACACATTAGCAAAGATCAACCTCAGTTGTCAACCCGCCTGCCAAGCGTAGCAACTATTTAAACAACTACCAAAACTGACCAGTGGAGAGTTAATAGCTGATATAATAAATATAAAAATGTATTATAACATATATAACATTGTTTTCTGAGTATATTAAAAGTAAGAAGTATAAAGTAACCTTCGTTCTAATAATACTCTCAAATTATCTTTCCCCTCTCACCGTATTCGAGTATTCTGACACCTCTTTCAAAAAAAGCGTTCACGCTCACTTTTTGGTTGACTGGGAGAGAATGCTATATATTTATTCGCATTAAGTCCGCCATGTACACATATTTGACTAGAGAATGCTTTTAGCATTAAGTCCGCCATTAATGAATAAATAAAATAAATAAATAAATAAAAAACCAAATGAGTTTGCTTACCATTTTGACAATGGGTTTTGATTTGATCTTCTTCGCTCTTGCAGCGTACCGTAGAGTGTTGATAGTTTCGCTAACATTTGATCTTGTGGGTGCTATACAGGCAATCTGTAAATAGTCCAGTGTGAGTAATTATTATTATTTCATATTAGTTAACTGTCCACTGGTGGACATAAGTCTTTCCCATAAGGGGAGTTTTGCCAGTAGTGGTCACGCTTGGCAGGCGGGTTGACAACCGCAGCTAGGCTAATAGAGACGTTTTAAGAGGAATGCTGCTGTCTATCCATCGCCCTTAGTCGCCTCTTACCACACTCTCGGGAAAGAAAGGGCCCATTCTATGCCGGGGCACAGACGGCAAGTATGAGCAATAATTACTACTAATTCAGTTCAATATACAGGTAAAACAGTAATAAAATGACAAAAATTGAAATCTGTTTACAGAAATTTAAACTAGAAATAGATTAGTTTCAAGCAGCTAGAAATAGTAAGTACTGTCCAATGGGTACTGTTATCCATTAAGTAAAAAAGAATTATTATGATATTAGTGAATTTGTCAAGCTACGACGCCACAGATAAGGATGTTTCGAAGTTATAGTAAAAATTTGTTAACTACATCTGGTTTGACTTACCATCAAAGTAACTCCGTTACCAGCCAGACTGTCCGCTAGTAGTTTAGTCAACTTACTGTCTCTATATGGTATATGGCCTCGCTTCTTGCCATCACTTAATTGGGCAATACAGTATCCTGTGATAAGGAATAATTTAATTAGGAAATAACATATTTCTATATTAATCAAGATTAATTTTTAACAAAAATTTATATCGAAATATTGTTTGGATCCATATTGTATGACATTTGATATATCACTGATTTCATAATTTCACTTCACAAGAACACCGTTAGGGATACTGAAGTGTTTTCATTTAACGAATTTAGAATTTGTTGTGAGTGTGAAATCTTTAAAAATCTGTAACCAAAGTTCTATTATAAAAAAAAAAAGAATATATGTTTCATGTCTACAGCGATCTACAGACCCAGCACATATTCGACTACAATTTTGGAATCTAGTTACTATAGCACATGATCTTCTAAAAACCGTTTTAAACTCACCCAGCACCATCAAACTTCTGTTAATATTATTGGCTTCTTCCAACGTCTTGCCGCTGCTCTGCGTCTTTTTGGTCATCTCACTGCCAGCCAAGTCAACAAAGTTAATCTTGCCATGCGTGGAGCATGAGATATCTGCACTGGCGCGTAAATCTCGGCGAACTCGAACACAGAGGACAGTGTGTGATCGGGAAGAGTTGGTGTTCATAGCGTGAGACCCCACTGATCTGTTTCGCATTCCTTAGAAGTGAGAAATATTAATTCGTAGATATCTATCCCTTGGTTTACAATCAACAAATTGGAACTAGTTATGCAGAAAACAGCTACATTACCAAGAAATGGGATGGGCATAAGAGATGACTGTTTTTAGCATATAACTCTAATCGTTGTTGACACAGTTTAAAAGAACCAGCAGTCCAGTGTTTTTTTTTTCAGTTCTTCCGAAGAATTGGAAAAAGCTTAACTGTTGATAGCTGGTTGAGGTTTAGTGTTCTTTCAAAAATTGAAACTGCTTTGTTTATTTTTGAAATGATCCATACGAGTATGAATAAATATTACTGTCTTTTGAAAACTATAAGAATTACTGTCATAAAACTCACAACTAGTCTCTGTGGACACAATCCATCTGAATCCACTTATTTAAACAGCCAAAGGTATTCAAATACAAAATTTTTAGGTATTATTGAAGGCGTCAATAAAAACATTAAAAATAAACATTGCTTAGAAGTAATTAGACAATCGTGCTTGCCAGTGGCTCTTTTATATAAAGTTTTCCAAGACTGCAGATTTTTCCATTTTATCTGGATGTTTAAAATTAAAAAATTACTGTAAATTTTGTCATATCGAGATTATATAGTTTTGTTGTATCTTTTCGTTATATTTCTTAATAATTTTTTGGTTAAATTTCAAAAGCATATCTATGATACGTATTTATCTATAGTAAGATTTTACCTTCTTCTAAAACAGCAAAAAGATCGTCCAATTCTTCGCAGTCCACCATAAACAGGTTCTCGACATAAAAACTTCTGCTCTCTTTGGACCATCGCACCTGGAGAGGCTTCCTAGCAGTGCCTGGGTTGAGAAGATCGATCACCTACAATTACAAAATCATTTCCTATTTATAGTATACGTACTTTGTTGCTTCACTTTCGGACGCCTACGTGGTTTTAACTTCATTAATCAATCTGGCACGTGTAAATAAGTATACAAATAGAGGTGTCCAATATATGTTCTGATTTTTTTAGATAAGCGAAGCGAAGGATGGGATTGTTTGTAACGAGGCTAGTTATTTTTAGCTAATCTACCTTTTGTCATAAGTAAAAGGTAATTTCTGATGCAATTCTGTCCTTAGGGTCAACTGATCTGACTTCAATCTTATGTAATCATTTCCCAGCAGTATCCTACATATTTAAAATAGTAACACAAACGAGGATACCATTTTATTTGTAATTATTAAAAATTCTCTTAAAGTATTTATTGGCATGCACATTTTTGTAGCCAAACTTTACTACTTTTTTAATATTAGCAAGTTTTAGACTCCTTTATGTTTTCTATATCAAAAATTTCAGAAATTTTAGTTTTTAAACACCCTTCATAAGCGCAGTGTGATGTTATTGATTATAGATAATTTACTTAAACCAATTGTTTTTTGGTAATATTATTTGAATATTTCTTTATAAAATTGTAGAGAATGAAAACATACCTTTTCATTATATATTTCTAAGAAAGATGCCTTTAATATGAAGTGGCATTCTGGTCTCTCTTTTATCAGCTGGAACAGGTATACGAAGGAGCGCACCACTAGCCCATGGTCTGGGGCATATGGGCTAGCTCCGCTTTCCACCTGCAAGTTAATACAATACGACTGTTATATCTACATTTGAACGTTAGATTTTTTGTATATTAATTATGCTTTAACAGCTGAATAGGTTTGAACGTATATGAGTGTACAAGTATACTATAATATCCTATATTGTATTAACCATTAACTGTCCACTGCTGAACCTAGCCTCACCCATAAGGAAGAGTTATGCCAGTAGTTGCCACGCTTGGCAAACGGGTTGGATACGCAGTTTGACTTTTGATGATGTTCTTAGTGGAGCATTGCTGCCCATCCCCCGAGTATTAATTTCCCTTAGCCACCTCTTACGACACCCACGGGAAAGAAGGCCTATATAGAATAGGCCGGGATCTACACTACTATAATAAGTCCACATACATTAACCTTTTAATTACATCAGTCTGATTTATCTGACAAAGGTTGTCATGCCCGTAGTGACTGCTTTGGACAAATCTATTCGACACTAATCGGAAGACCAGTGGATATGTTTTTTTTTCTTCATTTGTGTACTACATCAACACAGAAATAAAAAAAATATTTTAATATTACTTGTCATAGTCAAAGATATTAAAAAACCAAGGGCAATATAAAATTGAAGATTTAGTCGAGGGTTATAGGCATAGCAACTGCTACAAAATTAAACTGTCCAAGGTTAATTTATACAAACTGGCCTGTTGCAATTATTTTTAATTTGATCTGCTTCAGCATATCATCTACAGAATACTCGAAAATGATAAAGTAAAAATGCAATCATTTAGATAAGCAGGGATTTATCGAAAACCGAATAGCATGATTTTCAAGACAAAAACTCAGCAGGGGCTTAAAATTATACTTCTTATCCTATCTAGGGATGAGAGAGAACTGTTATTACTTAAGCGAAGCAGTCTCATAGCTATTAGCTAAATCCTTACGGTTCGAACTCCACCCTATCCTCTAAGGAAACCATTATGGTTAATTTTTGTTGAGTTAACTAACTTGGCTTTGTTCCCGCCTTAGATCCTTTCTTATCATTACTCATCGATACCCCACCATACATCAATAGTGCGGACAAGGTCATAATTATTTTCATCCCTTTAAAATATCTATACAAAGTGTCAGCAATCATGGGACTAAAACATGCGACATTACGATTCGTGATGGCGTAAACGTTACATGCGGTCGATAAATATTTGTTATAAATCACATACCATTTAACTAGACTATGGGGTGTTCCATGTCCATTCATGTAGTGAAGGACAGCGTTTACATTAACAAAATTGCGCCATATTTTTTAATTCTCACATAAAAGTTTCGCAAAGTATTATTTTTTAAACTCTTTAATTTTTTTTTTTCCACAGTTCATTTATAAAAGTTTGTTATAGACGATTTTTATATATTTTCACAGCAAAAAGCTATATACGAGGTCTGATCAAAATATAACCGTTATTCGTAATTTCGTGAGTTACGTATGTTTGATTTTCGTATTTTTCGCGGAGCTGTTGGTGATACCAAAAAAGCTCGTTTCAGAAGTGTTTCGAGGATTGGAAAAAACGCTGGTATAAGTGTATTATATCTGAGGGGAATTACTTTGAAGGGAACAAGATAGTTATTGATGAGTAAATAAATACTTTTTGAAAAAATTTAAAATAACGGTTTTTTTTTTATCAGACCTCGTATGCTATGGTCGAATTGCAATTTAGAATACTTTCTATAAGTTCCAAAGATATAAGATATTAATATGTCTGTAACTGCCAACACTCGAAGATTGACCACTGTTACTAGATGTTCCACAACATTTCATATTTCAACTGCTATTTTGTTCACGCAGGTTTTGCGACACGAATTTTAACTAGAAACGATGCATCTTCAGGCAAATTATTAGATCGCTGCTCGAAACCCTCTATTAACCATTCGAAACAATTTGTAATGTGGGTGGAAGATTGTAGAACTTTTGTTGGTGGTCACACACGTACGTACCATTAGGTAGCGGAATTAAAAAAAAATTGCCCGTTTTATCCCATCATAGAATGGACCATCCTCTCCTTTCACGTCGGTGTCGTAAGAGAACTATTTCCACACCGCCCATATCGATCGAATATCCATTTTTGAATATGTTAAAAGTCTGTTACCCATTTTTTTTTGGACAAAAAGTTATTTTCTTGGACAAAAAACTTTTAACATACTCGTTATTGGACTAGCATATTGATATTGTAACTAAAATATATACATATTGCTATATATTACGTAATACGATTTTTTTACATTAATACAGGTTCTAAGCGAATAATATTTCAGTTTCTTTCCTTAGTTCTCGTTATTTAACTGGCAGAACAAATTCCATAAATGATAAACCGTATCTACAGTCCGTAACTTATAGCACATAGCAATAATGTAAACACAAAATCAGATCGATAAGAATGACCATCAAGCCGGTATCTACTGTCACTTGGCTTTGAACCAATCGTTAATCATTCGTTCAAACTATAATTTTCTCTTTATGTGTAATAGATCGAGTTGATTTGACTATCGACATATGTAGATCAAAAATCAAATCTAGTTACAAAGTTATTTTCGTAAAAATCTATATTATTTGTTATCTTAGTAATTCCAACAAAGTACAAGTAAATAAAGAATTCTGCTTTGTCTGCTGTAATATTGTCATGTTTTGAAATATTTTATTCATAGAAATTGTGTGCGTTTCTCACGTCAATAATAGAATATTTTGAATATGATAGACATATATACAATAACGGTGGTAAACCATTATTTCATCAATAGCTGCCATATTTTTCTTTAATAATTGAATGAGTATACTTTATTTGCATCATACAATATAGGGAATAAGCAAGACAATAAATAAATGTAACGATATAGTTGTATAAGTACAGTAAAGCGGTCTTATTGCTGAGAGCAATATTTTCAAGACAACCTTAGGTTCAAACTGTTTATAATTACTCCTCTCCATCCAAGGTTGCCTGGAAGAGATCGCTCCTAATAAGGTCGCCCATTGTTTTCTCATTGTGATTATTTCTTGTAATTATTTATATTTATAATAAGTTTACTATTGTAATCTTTTGGAGGAAACAATAAAGAGTATCTATCTATCTATCTATCTATCTTAGGATAATGGACTAATTGTTGTACAAGTAGGTATGATACAATATTGTATAATCTTTTTCTTCTCCCTTAAATCCAAATCCAAAGGTTAGCTGGAATAGACTACTTTATCGATAAGACCGATTTTTGTAATTCATAAGTGTATGTATATATACTTATGAAGTAATAATATTAAACATTCTTTAAGTGATGCAATAAGAGTGAATAAATAAATAAATTCTGCACAAAAATTCTAGGAACAATACTTACATCATATTTTTTAAATATTTGTTATTAAGCGTGTTGAATCTCCCATCCGAGAAATAGGTATTGGCGATCCGCATGCATGCTAAAGGTAAAGGAGTTAAGGAGCCGCCTGAAAATCAGCGTTATATCTATACATCTCGCTGGAGTTGTACATATATAGCAACAGCTGAGGCGGCTCCTATTACCAGCAACATTTTTTTTTTAGTTTTATTTTTTTATTTTCTTAATACTGGTAATAAAGGTTATCTATCTATCTAAATATGACTATTCAAAAATGCTCATAATTACACAATACTTGACAACAGAATACTTGACTACAAAATACTTAAATAAAAATTGTTTTTATTCCTAGTCGCTTACCAGTCCTGGTGGTCCTGTAAGTGTGTGAGTCTTCCCACTGCCTGTTTGTCCGTAACAAAAGGCAGTACACGAGAAACCCTCTATTGCCATTTCTAGAAGCCTCTTTACTCCGGAATATTCTAGAACGTCCTCCTGTGAGCAAAAAATTAACAATAAGATTTACGATTTCCACTTTATTATTGTTGGATTCCTATCATCCATATGTAAGAATTATGTTGAAATTTTATTTAGAAGAATGATATCGCAAACTTTTGTTTTTTTTTTTTTTAATGGAAATGAGACATTTTTCTGCTGTAAAAATTATTCTATATATTGACCTACGAGTAGTTATTTTTTTTTAACTATTGAAGGATCTCGAGATTGATCACGATCTCACCTGATGGGAAACGATGATGTGGTCTAAAATGGAGCTCGCGGGCCCACGAATAGCCTACTCGCATTTGCCTTAAAGTGGTACAGATTATCTTTGCAGGGAGCAAGTGAATGCAACTGGCTCCTTTATGACAGTCTATGGGGGAGGCCTGTGTTCAGTAGTGGATAGGTAATGACTGAAATAATGATGATATTTGGATGGAAAAAACATAAGCAAGTTCCACAGCAGAGTTGCACTTTTTGGCCATTCGCATATTGAAGGAAAACGCAAAGCGCTTCGTGCGTATAAATGGTATGGTAACTAAATTATACCAAAACTATATTTTACTAAAACGTGTCCAGGAATTATTTCGTGTACATTCGGTGTGACATAATTATGTTCAGTTATATTAATATTTTATGTACAAAAGATATACAGATATTGAACTTATATATTACTTTGGTTTGAAAATAATATTTGATAGCAATTAAGTTTGTTTGCGTGGACGGTGGATTAACGTGCATAATGGATTGACACTGTTCGGTATACATTATCGCCTGTGTTTTTATATTGATAGGGAAATTATTTTAATAATACTATAACTACGTTTTCGAACAAGAATATTATAATCTAGAGCATTTTTTATAAAAAGAATGAAATTATATATATATATATATATATTTATAATTATATATATATATATATATATATATATATATATATATATATATATATATATATATATTTATTTATAATTATATATATATATATATATATATATATATATATATATATATATATATATATATATATATAATAGCGGTCTTATTATTGAAATAATGTTTTTTTTGTTAACGAGAAAGTGCAAAAAATTTCAAGTAAGAAGGACCGACAACCTATTTTTTTAACACAACATGGAATAGCAAATAAGCTGACGGTCCATCTGATTGAAAGTGGTAACCATCGCATAAACTATGTTTACTAGTTGTACGGACAGATTTTTTTTTAAAGATGATAATGGAATGATAACTTCACCTGCGCTGTCGGTATACGCTGGCGGGGTACCAGTGAGGGATGATAGATGAAGATGAAAGCAGGTCAATTGGCCTATCGTGATGCATTCCACAAGAACTACGATGGTTTCTAGGAGGAACCGGGTGGAGGTTAATTTGATAATGCTAGCAATGAGGTTTTTAAAACCAATTGCTGACAATTCCTTCCCTCTCGTACGGATAGGGTTATCATTCCATTTTCACCCCATAAAAGATACCTTTAAAAGAATTACCTGCGTGGCTAGTGACTCGAAGACGACGTTGTAGGAGAAGACCTTGGGCTTTTGACCAGGCGTGCCGGTGTCGCATACAATCTGACCCTTGCCAGGAAACTCGAGAATCTCACGATCGCCGCACGACCGTTCCTTCTCGTTCAGCGGGCGAATTCTGTCGCAATAAATATATTCATGCACATTTGAAAAAAAATATTTATATCAGAATTTTCGAAAATAATATATAATTGATGTTACTTATTCATGTTTACCAGAAGGAGACTATGTACAAAAGTCGTTTGCTTGAGCACCTCTGTCCCATTAATGTTTCTACCGTGAAGCAGTTGTGTTTGCATGGCTGTGTTTCGGTTTGAAGGGTGGGATATGGCAAATAATTTATAGGGTACAGAGGAATTACACCTGAGTCCTTAGGAATGGCAACGCATCCCCATGCGTTGCCATTCATCCATTCATTCAGGTATCATGGGCGAAACAGTATACTCTGTAATGTCCATGGTACTACTCATGTGTACAGGCAACGGTTACCACTTTCCATTAGGTGGGCCGTCAGCTTGTTTGCCATTCTAAGTTGTATAAAAAAAAAGCCGTTTTGAAGTTATAAATAGTGTAACTAATACGAGTTTGTTTTATTTATATAGTTAAGTAACTATTACATTGTAGAATAATAAATGTGGTAGAAACTATATTACGTTGTTAGTAAGGATACTTAATCTATTACTACGTCGCGTGTTTTGAGGTATTCTATTAGAAATTAATATACGTTATTCGATTTCTTTACAATGAATGAATTACCTCATTAGTTAGTATACTTTTTAATTATTAAAATCACTTCATAATTGGCAAATTCGAGTCGAGAATCTCTTTTTTTTTTTGAAGCCATTGTTATTAAAAAATAAAATTTATATAAAGAATAATATTTAGGTATTTCTTATCTATTTCTAAACAATTGTGTACCTAATTGTTCAAATTATACCTGCTTACGTCACGATATCAACTTTCAATGTTGATAGTTTGGTTTTAAAATAACATAATTATTACTAATTGTACCCTAATTGTACTAATTATTTCTTGTAATTATTTACATTTATAATAAGTTTACTATTATAATCTTTTGGAGGAAACAATAAAAAGTATCTATTTATCTATCTATATATCTAATATTACAAATATGAAAAACAATGATTTTTGTGTTAATTTTAAATATATTTTATTGCAATAAAACATACAGTTATAATAATAAATAGAAACAATGTAAGCAGAGTTGAACTTGAATGCTCTTACTAGTAGTGCATTTACACTGAATGTAAAAAAAATATATTCTATATGTAACATAAAAAATTTTGCTAAGCTGATATTATAGTATTTAATAAGAGTTGAGCGCTATTGTCTGAGATACAGGTTTTATAACCTAGTTCAGATACAGATGTTTAAACTGATCCAAAAGTACAAATGAATTCATACCTACTTTTACTGTAATTTCCAATGTTGAGTTTGTTATAATTATGGTTATGCAATAAAGTTATTATTATTATTATAAAACTGTTCTAGCACTTGCTCTATACTGTTTCTTCCAGGTATGAGTAGTACGGATACCGATTCGATATCTATATATTTGGTTTCTCTGGACATTGATGACGGAAAAAGGATTATCACATTTCGATGTCACCTATATTGATCAGATATCTATTTTCGAATATGTTAAAAGACTGATATCCAATATTATTTCTTGGATAACAGATTTTTAATATAACCACCAATTTCCAGCGGGAACCACGTCGAGGTCGATCTCGACGTGGTTCCCCCTGGAAACCATCGTACTGAATTTCAGGTGTATATATCACAATGAGTTAACTGACCTGCGTTTTTACTCTCACCCATCATTCCTAAATGGTGCCCTGTCAGGATATACCGTTAACGCAGACGGGGTTACCATTCCATTATCATCGATTAAAAAAATATATATAAATCTTTGGGGTTTTAACGGTTCGAGCAATCGTCACAGTTTTTTAAGTATACTTTTGTCCCCGGAAATCAATATAATTACCGGTCAAACGAACGCAGTTATGGGTGAAAACCAGAGGTACTATTTTGATAATTTAAATGATTTACCCCCTTATTCATAAAAATTAAATCCTTCTACAAACATATTTTAACTATTTTACTAACTCTTTTGTCACTTTCTTTGAAATTAGTAATTTAGTACCAAAGAAAGAGACAAAACAGTTTAATAGCTAAAATGGGTCTTTGTAAGGTTTGACGTTTTTAAAAAGTACGAATTTAATAGATTATTTTTATTAAGGGGGAAACTATTTGTTCATAATATCTCCATTTCAGACAACGAAAGGTACTTATTAGGAGTAAGTAGCTACGAGACTTAATTATAAAATTGTTAGATATGTGACCTTCTGTTAATTGAAGTGTTTTAATTAGGGGTTTACATAAATCTATATTTTAATAGACAATTTTCAGTAATAACATGTCATTGATATTGTCTGCTTTTAGAATTGAGAGTAGTTCAAAATTTATAAGTTAAATAAATAAAACGATGTATCTTTGTATATAAGTATGTATGTATGTATGTAACAAAATATATATATGTATGGACGGGTAGCAGCGTGTCTTTTAAACATCTCCAAAGCCTAACTTCAGTTGCCAATCCGCTTACCAAGCGTGGCAACTACTGGCAAAACCCCCATGGAGGGTTTTGTTCAGCAGTGGACAGTTGCTGATATGATGATATAGACAGATAGATACTCTTTATTGTTTCCTCTATGTATTTCTATGTATTTTTTAATTACTGTTTTAATTTAATTTCTGTTTTTTTCTGTCCACGGTCGACTGGTTGATATCGCCACCTTTACACTTTCTAGGTATATTAACATTTAATAAATAAATGTATTTTCAAAAGGCTAGCAAACATTTTTATGACGTATATTACCTGTATCACGTGGCTTTAGCCGTAGTCGTATCGTAATGTTAAATAACCAACAAGAAATGAGCCACCGAGTGCAAAAATAATTTTTAAACCTAATAGTTTTAGAAATTATAGAGTTGAAACAAACTCTTCCGTTTTATATCGGGCCGTCAGCTTGTTTGCCATTCGAAGTTGTATAAAAAAAAATAACAGCTGATATAGTGATGACTAAAACATGGGCATAGATAGTACCATCATCTCAACCATTATCTGTTTACTGCTGAATATAAGCCTCCCCCATAGACTGCCATAAGGAAGGGTCCTGAAGCACCTGCATCCACTGACTCCCTGCAATGCATTTGAGATCGTCACTACATCTAGTGAGGGATCACTCAAGTGCTGCACTTGATTGCGTTGGATCGCCACTCAAGAATCTTTCTTCCCTATCAGTTGTCGGATTTTTGACCTATGTGACCACCCCATTGCCACTTTGGCTTGTTTATACTTGGGGCTATGTCAATGAGTTTGGTTTTTTTACAGATATCCTCATTTTGGATTCTGTCCCGTAAAGAAACTCCGAGCATAAATCATATCTCACTACTCTCCTGCATCTCCATAAATCACTGAGTAATTTGAACCTTTTGCATACGGCCAACCGTAGTTATAATAAGTGAATATCTATAACCCACCAGTAGGCGTAGAGAATGTATTGTATTTAAAGGACAAAGTTCGAAGTTCATACATTTATTGAAAAACCAATGTGGCAAGTTTTCTATTATATCACACCATGAATGACGACGATTCAATAACAAAATCGCTTTTTAACGATTGCCAACAAATTTATAGTACAAATTACACGCGATAAGCGATTAACAATAGGTTCGATTCTGAGGCGCAATTTCTTTAAATCTATATCCTACCCTAATATTTTAATTTGATAGTTTCACGAAATTACTATTTTATGGACCATCACAAATTAAATTTATAATAATTGTGACTTAAATATTTTAAAATAAAATTGATTTGATGCATAAATTATATTTTACTTACGTACTTGTTTACTGTGGGTTTATGATCAGGATGAGTGTACGCATATTTTTAGAGGGTTAGCTTGAACAAAACATTATTGTATCATATAAATATAATATTGTTAATTCTCTGTTATATGTATCTATTGAAATAAAATAAATGTATTAGAATTGTGGTTCACATTGGTATTTACAATAAAGATTTTGCTGTGATATCAAATACAAATTTTAATTTTGTATATACATAGGTTTAGAGAAATAGCGTTCACGTTGAAGAGTATATAAATACTCCTTTCTGTGTCTAGAATGTCGTAAGTAGTAGAAGATATCCTACACTATTGTAAAAGAAAGGAAACTTGAAACATAACCTTGTAATAAGCTAGCTAGATGGAAGTGTGATAAATGTAAGTATATTATATGTTCTTCGCAGAGACAGGCAATTGAAGTTTTTATGTTCTCCACATTATAGTATGATGCAGATGATTTGCTGATGTTTTCATAGTTTTTGATGTAAAATGACTGTTTTAAAGTGAAATTTAATGTGATAATCATAGTTGATATTATAGTTTTTGTATTTTTTTTTGTGTTGGTAATTATCTATCTCCCATATCACAATATAAGTTGTACCATGTTTGTCCATGTACCATGTGAATCTTTTATTACTACATCAGGCTTTGAACTACGTTATAGCTAAATGCTTATAGAGTGCAAAAAGGCGGGTGTCTATACAAACAATATTCCTCATAAATGGTAACAATTGAATTCGCGATATCTTAAAATTTAGACCCTACAATTTGTCGTACAAATTTAAATGGCATGTTTGAATGAAAATCGATTTTTATCGAAAAGTTATGTCAACATCCCTAAACTAAAAGGATTACTTATATAAAAATAATTAAAACTTTGTTTTTGTTTTACCTAAGTTATATGGTTTGATTGATCAAGTACCTAAACCTTTTACTGATTAGCAATTATTAATGTGTGCTTTTTACGACTTAGATTGTCAAACAAACTGACATTATATCTGATAAAAAGTGAAAATTGTAGCTTATGCTGTACTCGTGGCCGTTTCCCAGTTTGAAGGGTAGTACACGAAAATTACAGGGTACAGATATATAATACCTTAATCCTTAGGAATGGCAATACTTTATGTGTACTCTGTGATGTTTATAGCGCTATTTTCGTCTATTGGCGATAGTTAGTTCCCTGGTGGAAAGATATAACCATCGCCAATAGCATCGTCGCCATTTGCACATATGTATATCAGTAAGAGTAGGTAATATATAGCAATATCTATATACCGGTTCAATAATGAATATGTTAAAAGTCTGTTATCCCAAAAATAATATTGGTTAACAGACTTTTTTTTATATCACTGAGGTGGCAAACAAGCATACGACCCACCTGATGGTAAGCGGTTACCGTAACCTATGAACACCTGCAATACCAAAGGTATTACGCGTGCGTTGCCGACCTAGAAGAAACCTCTTTAGCCCCCTTTTGAAGAACCCCAAGCTGTAGTCTCTTGGGAAAATCTCGGCAGGGAGCTCATTCCACAACCTAAGTATTCGTGGGAGGAAACATCTCTGAAACCGCGCAGTACGCGACCATTGAGGCTGTAAGACATGAGTATGAACTCCCTGTCGATGGCGAGCCGTACGATGGTAGAAAGTGGTTGTGGGTATCATATTGAACAATTCCTCTGAGCACAATCCATTGTACAGGCGGTAGAACACGCAGAACGAGGCAAAATCTCTCCAAAGACTCAAGGGTTCAATACCGCTTGTGAGCCTGGTATCATCGACAATTCTCATAGCTCGTCGTTGCAACGAGTCGAAAGGTTCAAGCTGGTATTTAGGTGCTTCCGCCCATAAGTGACATAGATATCCGACCGATGTGGGTGATACCAAAATGGGTGATGACTTTTTCCGCTATCAATGTCCAGAGAAACCCAATATATAGATATCGTATAGGTATCCATATTACCCATGCCTATATATTTGTTACTTACCTAGGAATATGATAACAGATAGATACTTACCTAACCACTACGTTGATGTTGTCTTCATCTGAATTGAGGGTTGTGGTAGATCCTCTTGTACTTCTGTCCAGACTTCCAGCTCTGCTGCTTCCACTGCGACACACAAGAAAGTTTAAATGAGATTAAGAAATCATGCTAATGTAATATAGCTCTGGAGTTAAAGCCTCCCATGCTATAATATGGGCCATTGTAGTGCAGGAGAAAATCTTCAGTTGGGAGTCCATTCCACGAGGAAGAATCGAGCAGTGGTTGCATACGTTGGATCACATTATAAATGTGAAAATTTCTAAAATTGTTTATTATTCAGATATCTTTTTAGTTAATTTTTTTAAACTATCATCACCTGTCTCTCATAAAGCTATTCTTTAAAATTTAAATGTTAAATTTCAAATTTAATTTGTTACTTTTTACTACCTTTTATATAGAAAAATAATCATTCATTCTCTTTAATTAAAAAAGGCCATACTTCTATGTAGATACCTGTACTGGATAAGACTACGTTCAGCATTATCGAGGCAAGTTTAAATTGTATTGTAGCATAAAATTTTTACAAAGCTGTTTGACTTTATGGCATAGTTTATACATTTAAATACAAGTCAAGTGCAATCGATTCGTGTACAATATATTGACACGGATGCATTTTCTGTTTAACCTAACAGAGACATCATCGGTTATAAGCTTTAGTTATTGTTTATTTTCTATAGTTATAAAGGTGTGCCTATAAAATACTTGCATTCGACTTCGGACGAAGTCAATTTTGAAATGAAACATCTTGGCGAGGTGATCAGGGTTGAGTTCTAGAGATTATTTATTATTTAATTGCATATTGATGGCAGTTTATCTTTGTTTACGTGTTGTTTATAATAATAAATATATAATAATTTTAATACTGATAATTTAAAAATGAATGACACTGCCATGTTACGTTAGGGCCAAAAACTCTATTAATATTATAAATATCAAATTTATTAACAATTGTACAAGGAAACTTAATTATAAGCATTTTTAATAGTAATTTTATTATGACTCTATCGCGCAACGGACAAAAACTCAGCTGATGCATTTAATGATGGATAGATAGATTCTTTATTCTTTATTGTATACAAAAGGTTATTGAAATGTAAAAACAAACATAATAGTGCACAAGGGCGAGCTTATCTCCAATAGAGATTTCTTCCAGCAAACCCAATATGAGAAAAGTGACAGTTCATTAGTACTTACAGTCATACATGTGTACCAATCGACTTAAATGTTATAGTTAAAAATAAATAAATAAAATATCATTACAATTGAAAAGACCGATAGGTATAAATAAAAATATATATATATATAAGTAAATACATATAAAAAGATTTATATATATATATATATATATATATATATATATATATATATATATATATATATATATATATATATATATATATATATATATATATATATATATATATATATATATTATATATATATAATACATAAATATAATAAGTACTTACATCAACATTGTGAGAGGTAATAATTCTTCAGACGTGTTTTGAAAATCCCAATGTTTCTAATTTCATGAGGAAGTGTGTTCCATAATCTAATAGATGTTTATTATTTTTCTACAAAAAAATTACTAAACAGGTTTTTATAAAATTTGGTATACGGGTAGGTTATATTCTAACTTAGCACATTATTTTTATTTATTTTTTTATTTATTTAATAAGGTTCACATACAACTTTTACATTTTACATGCAACTTAATAACACAAAAAATAATTTTGCCTAATGTAAAAATCTTTTATACGCGAACACCACATGCACTATTATAATATTTAATAAATCATTAACAATAACAGTAAGATTATCTGAATAATAAGTAATTATGAACTTATGTCTAAGATTTTCCGCAATAAGCTATATCTGCTGTTGGTGGGTCCAAAATTGATGTCAATTTGATCGCTGTGAGCATTCAGAATCCTACACAATCTGGGTACAGGCGATATATATACTATAATCTATAAATTATGTACTGATTCATGCGTTGCAGCCGCGGGATACAGCTAGTAAACAATATTGTTTAAATAGAGAGATAAACATACTGACGCTTGGTAGAAAGTGGTAGATAGTTGGTAACAGTTGGCTATGCATATAACCAAACAGATATTACAGAATAATGCCCCATATTCTTCAATAATAATAAAAAAAAAAACAGTAAATTTACTGTCCTTAATCTATGATTGTCTATGAAAGGTCAAAATCAAACATTTATTGTGCCATTAAATCCCAAATGGACAGTTTTACAATTTAAAACTCTATTAATGATCATAAATTACCAATCCACCCAAAGAATAAAGAAACATCGAAATAAACAGATATTTTATCTCCTTTTTGACAGGCTATTTTTTTGTTGAAATAATGGGGTTTTGATTACAATATGCTTTCTATCAACATGACATCAAAACAAACATAAAATAATGAACGTCGGACGTGGTGTACACGTTTTTGAAAATATTGATGGAAGACAAATATTTTGTTAATCATAATAATGAATAGTGTATCCGACATCAAATAGGTTCTATAAATTCCTTCATAAAGTTTATGGCAGGTAGCGAGTAATAAGTACATATCGTTAAAGGAAAAGCTACTTGATATAATCATAAAATTATAGGTTTTTTACATTGTATAGATATGGTTTTATACAGGAAAAAAAATCTCGATTGGAAACTGTTTATAATACCCCTTGACTATTTATAAATATATATATTTTATAAAAATGTAATAAAGGTTAACTGAATTACTAAAACGTACTACTGTTGAGCACAGGTCTCTCTCTGTTAAGGTCTCTCTAATTTTTTTTATAAACTGTTATATTTGTTTTCAATATGATTAAATACAATAAGGCTGTTTTTGTCATCATCAGGATCTCAAAACTTCCCCAGGGGCTCCAAGTACATTAAGGCCAGCTTTGCCTGCCGTAACCATGCTGGTAAATGGCACGCTACACAGTATTTTGTTTAAAGTTTTCTGATACAAGATTTCGCCTATTCCATGTTCCTACGTGTTCCACAGTTTGTTATATTATTATTTTCCAATATTTTGGTTTTTCTAAGAGACTACAGCAAGGGGTTAACGCTAATCTGTTACTATCAGGTGTTACGTATGTGATTGCCATCTCAGTGGTATAAAAAATTAGTTTATTTTAATAGGATTTCTTGGCAATTAATTGTGCACTAGTTGTAATTGATCGATGTTCCGTTTCAAATACCACAATGAATATTCAATAAGTTTTCCCGCGTCTTGGGAGATTGACAGGTGAAGTCACGTGACGTTCTGAACAACATGGCGGCAAATGTCAAGGACTTCAGCCCTAACGACAAAGCTAGTAATTTAAAAGTACTTCATTATAATTTCAGTTTTATCTTTTTATTACAAAGTTGCTAGTATTTGTGTTAACTTTGGCGTGAAATATAAGTGATATTATGCTAAGTATAAACGGGAACTTGGGGAACGCTGTTGAAAAGATTAATTAAGTAAATAGTTTTTACCCTTATTTTCGTTCGTCTACTCGAGATATGTTCACTGACCAGGATAAAAATCCTGTCTTTTTATCATTTCCATATATGCGAAAACCAAATTTAATAGTGATTTGTTAAGCCATCTTAATGGCTTAGCACTAAGAAGTAACAAACACTCACTTTCACATTTATAATAAAATATTAAAGATATGCGAAGTTTCTAAACATAAATCACGTTCAGTGGCGTACCTTGGAAGAGACCTATGTCCAGCAATAAACTGCGGTAAGATAATTATAATAGTGATGTTGTGACGAGCTCTCTAAAGCGTTATTCAAAGATAGTAATTTCATTTATTTTTAAATGACTTCGAGATAGAGGGCTTTCAGTTCAACTGTTGTTTTTTGTTTGTACGTGACACGGTACCTAATTTAACTCTGAACCGATTTTGGTGACTATTTTTCCATATTAATTTGCCCGAAATAGAAATAGTTTTTTGAACTAATAATACCTTAAATTTCTTTAAGTACATGTTAGGCTTAATTCGAATATATAATTCGAATCGTATTTATAAGAAAATCTAATTTAATAAAAAAACCTAACTTGAAAGCTACTCTTGACTTTTCAAATGACTGAGCAAATTCTGTTGGGATTTGGATCAAGGTTCGTATGTCTATCAATAAATACCATTAGACGCGTCAATGGGTGTGCCTGTAAAGGGGTGATTATTTAGTAATTGCTACATCAACCCGGATGACGGTGGCAAAAACCATAATGGTGTCAGTGAACTTCAATTTGAGGATATATTCAAATAAAAGGCACAATCCGTACCTACAGTTTATTTTGCAAAGATTACAGAAACTTATGTAAATAATTTCATTGTCATCATCATCAATGTCAGCCGTTAACTGTCCTCTGCTGAACATAGGGCTTCCGCTATTGGGGGGTATTGCCAGTAGTTACCATGCTTGGCAAATGGGTTAGCAACCGCAATTAGGTTTTGGTGACGTTTTAAAAGGGACGGGAACAGACCTGTGGTGTCGGAATGGAATGGGTCACCCTTTCCTTTTCAGTGCGTATCGCAAGAGACAAATAAGGAAACTTAAAGATAAAGATAAATTTATTTGTCGATATTTAATGGTCGAGGAATATATACTCATACTAATAACGGGGTCTAAAAGCCTCATTGCTAGCAATACACAGTATTACGTCTACCAAAACGCGGTTCCCCCTAGAACAAGTGTAGTTAATTCTTGTTGAATTCGTTGCGTTGGGCTAACGTAATGAACGTTGATCTACTTTCATCCTCTCTTATTATATCTCTGCCAGCATATACGAATTAAAAAATAGTCTAATTTATTTTTCAATTTATTTAATACTTTATTGTACACATTGACAGAGTTAAGTAAATGTATAATAATACAATATAAAGTATATAATAATACAAAGGCAAGCTTAACTCTTAAAGAGTTCTCTTCCAGCATACCCAAAGGGGAAAGGAGTATCAATGTCAGCGGGTAAAGCGGTGTACAATAATGCGACAATTAAAAAAAAATATTGATGAATAAAATAGTGGTAGCAAGCTTTATGGTTTCTTAGTCCGTCATTACACGACATATCGTATTACTATACTGTAATATTAAAACCGGAATATCGAATAAAAGCCCTCTTAAATACTAAAACATGAATAAAACATGAGTGTACCATTGGATTGTTGTAATTAGTCCTGTAGGCGTATTTATACTTATTGACACTGAGGCACGCAAAGAAAAAGTAATGACATGCCTAATGATCGTTTATTCAGCGATTAGATATCCATACAGTTCAGACTGAGTTTCTTAAAATTGACCAGCGAGCACAGCCGTACCGTCCTTTTCATTAAGCGATTCACGGTATTTTTGGCCCCTTGTAACTTCATTGTGGATAAAGCAAGAAGTTAAAATTTTTCTGGTCTGATCTTAAGTTTTAATTTGTTCTAGTTGTTAAGCCATCACATTGTGTAAAATCTGTGTGTACACTTGAATAATGCTATATGTATCGAATCAGAATAAATAAATATTATTATTATATTATCTTTTTGATCAACTGGATATACTATAATTGGCTATAATTTATTTATTTATTTATTAGAAACCAACGGCGTTACAGTTAATATTTACAGACTAGTATTTAAAATATTAAGGCTAATAACAGGTTTCTTATTTTTATAAAAGTACAAAATTGGTTTGCGCAAAAAAGAAAAGTACAATACAAACATTCAATCACAATACACACAAATACAAATATCAAATACATGCATGTTACAGTGTATTCAGGTACTACTATATTTATATTATACATAAATACAACAGATTTTGCATGAATACGTTACCTCCTGTTACCATTATGACACATTAAAGCACACACACACTCACACCTTGCAAATACAATCTAATAATTCCAATATTTCTAATAATTATACCTTATAGTTTACGAATGATCGCTAGTTAAATTTCTTTGATTTTGTCTTTGACATACGAGTACTTATCGATCATTAAATTAAGAAGTATCTTAAACTTCTAACAATCTCACAAACTCCAACTTTTGATTTTTAATTAGAGAGAAAAATCTCAAAATTTTGCTATCCACTTTCATTAAAAATAATGATTGTTAAAAATTGCGTTCATTTATTGAAATAATGCATTACCCTTGTAGTTGACGAATAAGATTTACCCATGAAAAAAAAGTGGATGATCTATAAAAAGAAATGAGATCAAATGTTTTTAATTTTTGACATTTGGGTAAAATTAAAAAAATAATGCAACTGGCAACCCTTCTTGCATTTGTAAATTCTAACCTGTACCATATTCAAGAATAGCAACGCGTGTGATAAGCATGGTTTTGTACGTTAGTTGTTAGTGTTCATTAGCTAGCTTGTTTACTATTTTAAAACATACATACATACATATCTGTCACGCCTGTCTCCCATTAGGGTAGGCAGAAACACTATTTTAAGTATCATAAAAAATACTAAAATAATAAAAGATCTAAGTTTTTAAATTCGTATGGGTAATTTTGAACCAAGGAACAGGGCGTGGATTGCACAGGATTTCTTTTTAATTATAAAAGCATACGTTTCAATCAATTTCAGTCCACTGACGCATCTACATTTTTCAATGACGCTTAGAATGGCAAATAAGCTGGCGAACCACTTGATGGAAAGTGACAACTGTCGCCTATAGACATGAACAGCATCTTGGATATTATAGAATACACTATTATGCCCATGGTATCCCTCATTAGGTTGCCATTCCTGACGACTAAGTTGTTGTTAATGCCTCTGTATCCTGTAATTTCACTGCCATATCCCACCCTTTAAACCGTGCAAGATATAGCCATGAAAAAGACATATTTCTGTTGTGAAGCAGTTGCACTTGCAAGTGGAAATCAGAAGTAGGTAGTTGATTTTTACACAAAGTTTCCTTCTGGTAAACTTAAGCAATTTCACTGAAATCGTATTACTAAGGTACAGACATCGCGTGCACTGTTAATAGTGATTCACAACTTCAGCTGAAGTGGAGTGTTGCGTGAATTGATCCCTCATTTACAGGGTGCGTAATGCTACATATTATTTCTTTGTTGTATTTATGCAAATTTCCGTATTTCACTTCAAAGTAAGGTTAGCGGTTTATTCATCGCGGGGTTGTGGTTAAAATCTAGGGAAATTAAATTCTAATGACTAATTTCGTAATGTTAAGCCCCTTATTTTATCGTGGGTGTCGTAAGAGGCGACTAAGGGAACTTAATGATCGAGTGATAGACAGCAGCGTTCCTATTAAAACGTCTACAAAGTCTAACAACGGTTGCCAATCCGCCTGCTAAGCATGACAACTTCTGGCTAAATCCACCAAGCGTCCCCGGCTTATGCTCAGCAGTGAACACTTAAAGGCTGGTAGGGTGATGAATGAAATCTTTCCTTTTTATAATATTACTTGAGACTGCTGTCCTAATATCTACTATTATTATTATTATTATTTCAGACGTTGACTGTCCATTGCTGGACATAAGCCTTCCCCGTAAGAGGAGTTTTGCCAGTAGTTGCCGCGTTTGGCAGGCGGGTTGGCAACAGCAGTTAGGTTTTTACAGATGTTTTAAGAGGGACGCTGCTGCCCATCCGTCGCCCTACTATTTTTATTAAATAAACTAATAAATAAATAATAATAATTATATTATTTTAAACCACTTTTAATTTATATTTTATACAATATAACATATAAAATTAAACGGAAAATACCAAATGATTTATAACAATAGCATTTTAATAATAAATCTTTCTTAAAACTGATCGCGTGCAAAGGAACATTGTATCTCAGCGGTCAACCTGAGTCAGGGTCAGTAATTAGGTACGTACTTTTACTGACAACCTTTAATGGCTGCTTTCAATTTATCACTGTATCTATATATTTATTTAAAAATTTAAACGTAGATTTCAAAAGTAGTTAGTCTACCAAGATAAAACATACACCAGGATTTAAGTTAGACCTTATGGAACATACCTATGAAATCCGTATCCAATTTGATATAGCTAAAACTACTGCTGGAATTTATATGAAGACACACAGACAGACCAGAGGGAGACTTTGTACAAAAGTCGATTGCTTGGGTACCTCTGTCCCATTTGTGTTTCAACCGTGAAGCAGTTGTGTTTGCATGGCTGTGTTTCGGTTTGAAGGGTGGGATATGGCGTGAATTTACTGGGTACAGAGAAATAACACCTGAGTCCTCAGGAATAGCAACGCATGGGGGGTATCATGGGCGAAACAGTATACTCTGTTATGTCCATGGTACTGCTCATGTCTATAGGCGACGGTTACCACTTTCCATCAGGTGGACCATCAGCTTGTTTGCCATTCTAAGTTGTATAAAAAAAAAAGACAAAAATTCCCTAACTGTTTTGGGTTCTACTGTTTTTATTAAGATTCCTCTAGATTCGTTTTAAATATTTTATGTACGACCATCATATAATTACAATTAATTAAATTAGCTAGTAAGATAAATCTAGTGTAGAACAGAAAAAAAAATTAACAAGTTCGTTTTCAAATCCGACACAATATCCAAGTTTTATGACTATTTACTAAGACTGCCCTTAGTGTATATACCTGGGAAATTTTCGTCATTGAAATTGCATAAGATAAAAGACCTGCTTCAAACTTCAACTGAAGAAGTGCTATTCATATCTATAAGCGACGGTTACATTTTTCGTTACAGAGCCGCCGGCTGCTTTGTCATTACTCTGTATACTTTGATAAGAGAATAAGCCAAATATTTAATGTTATTAAAGAGAAATAAAAGATATTACTAGTTATTCTAATCTAATCTTTACAGAATAGATAAGTGCAGAATTTTACAATAATGATGCAAGAGCAGGATTGTTAGATAATCCATAGAGGCCTGAATTTTGTTTTTATATTCATAGACAATTATTAAAAAGTATTCAATAAAAAAAAATATATAAAAAATTTTTATCCTCGAATATTCTATAGTTTTCTTTTAACTTCTCAAAGCTGTAACAGATTCCTCTATGGGTTAAGTCCGCCATTGTATATTAAATCTTTTTAAAAAGAAATATTTGTATGGAAACACTTAATCTATATAATCTATGCTAAAAGTAGACAACTCACCTTCCATTCCTAGATCGCGAGTGCATGCTGTCGTCGTCTCTGCCCCATCCTTTGCCAATACTGGGAAGTCCTAACGAACCGGAGCCTTTTATCAGCCCAACTCCAGGTTGCTCCGTGCTCCGAGCTTTCCGTGCCCTTATTTCTTTACCTATACAAACAATCCAATATTTTTTTTAACTTTGAAAAGAATCCTATGGGAAATAAGTCCATATATCGTATTTCTATATTTCGTACGGAAGATTTTTACATAGAAGATAAAGTAAAATAAAAGATAAAGTAGAAAGTTCTCGATATCGACACATCGACATAAACTAGATAAATCTTTAATTTGCTGGAGTTTCGTTTGGTGGCAATGGAATATTTATGTTCAATTAAAATGTAAGATCTTATTTCTATTATTGTATTATTATTATATATTATTACGTCTATCGCATTGCTGTGTATTGCTTCATATTCATTTGTCATATATTGTTTGTATTTTTTATCCTTATAACAGTATTTATTACAGTGCTGATAATGATAGTGATAGATGGGAAATTCTATCGCTCACTTAGGCGATTCAATAAATAAATAATGAACTACTAATCAAATAGGCAAGCTATATGCAAGAGTTTACTTTGCAAAATGAAAATAAACTTTATTTATTATGTTGTTGCGAAATTTAAAATAAAAAAGTGGCAGTTCAATGTGGTAAAATACCAACTAACGCACCAATTGATCTGAATGAAATTACGTTTGATAAAATGCTTATGGTTTTAAACTTTTGTTTATTATGGAATTTAAACTTTAAAACCGTTTGGAGATCATAACGTATCCAACACTCACCAGCTCTAGTAGTAGCAACCAACGTTTCAGCAGATTTAGATATGCTTCTGCTAAGCGCGGTCGGAGGTGCTCGCATTGGTGTCGCTTGTCGCTGATACATATCCGTTCTTGGTTGAAACAATTGCAAATTCTTCAGTGCCATAATCAAACCTCATTAGCATTTTATTTTTCTTTTTTTGTTTATTTCTTGTATTACTTTTCTTCTCTTCATTTTTCCTTCTCTTTTAACTTTATAATATTTTATATTTATATACCATATCTTAAAGAAGAAGATTCAAAATGATACACAACACAAAATGTAAATTGAAGATTTGTACAAAAGTCGATTGCGAAGTGTTTCAACCTAAGCAGTTGTGTTGGCGTGTTTCGGTTTATAATTTACTGGGTACAGTTCAGAATATTGATAAATGAACAAAATATTCTAGTGAAAATGTTATCGACTGTAAGTAATAAATTTCAACAAGGCACAGTCAATTTGTGATTGTGTCAAATAAAAATTATGCGGGCGTTTTAACTATTGATAGGTAAACTAGAATTGAAATAATAGAAAGTATATATAGTCGCTACTTTAAAATATATCGATTCAATATAATATTAACGATCGTCTTTACAGTTTGTGTCTTGATAACTTATTTAAATTAGACCACTATTACAAGCTATCAGTCTCTGAAACAGTGTGTCACTAGTATGGTAATATCAAAACAGTCAATGTCTTTTCACTACAATGTAAACATATGAGTGTTAAATACAAAGACAGAAAATTGAAAATAATACACTACACTATGACAATAAAACATGTACGCGATATTTAATTACTTAGATTACAACAATTTCTTTTTCCAATCGTTCAATTGATTGATACAGAAAAGGCGGGAAAACTGACAAGTTTTTTTTTTCTAGAGAGCGGCGCGGGTGCCTCGGTCGCGCGTGTATCACAAACTAAATAATAATTGCTTTCAGCCCTTCAGTGAGGGTTTGTTATAGAATATTTCTATTGAACTTTTTGATTTAAACGTTATTATGGTGTCGGGTTGACATATGGGGTAGAAACGATATACAATATCGTATGGAATATAGTTAATTTATATAAGTATTTATGTCGTTTCTATATATATAGTTACAGAATTATTAAGTATTATAAACAACAAAATTTTATAGGTTAGAATAAATGAATAAGTAAGGCTATAAGGTAATTCCTTGTAAAAAATCTACTTTTTAGTACTCTCTAGTAAGTATGTAGGTAGTAATAATTTAAAATTGTGTTTCACAAAAAAAAAACCAACTTTGATTGGGTCCAAGGTTGATTGGTATTCTTTTTGAACACGGTTGAAAAATATAACTTCAGCATACATAAAATGTAGCCAAACCAATTATTTTGATTTAAAAATTAAACTACCTATTTAAAAATTAACACCAAGCCACTTGGTAATAGTAGGAAGAAAAAACCTATGAGAGAAAAAAAAGAAAGAAATAAAAACGAAATGATTTTTGAAATTGTCGACCAATTGCATTTACAAAACAAAATAAAATAAAGACAATAAGATTAATTTACAACAATTACTTTCCAGGTGGCCAGTACGCAGCATTATGCTATGGTAGTTTATTTACTGCCATAGAGCTGTTATTTTGCAAGCCACACAGTGAGTTCACAGATGACTACAGTGTACTTTTAAAACAATAATAAAATAAAAACAATACCTTCAAAACAATAATCAAAAAGGCAACAAAATATTAATATAATTTTTTTAATGTGCAGACCAATTTTGTGAAAGATTGGTGCTTGCGGCGGCAAACACATAACGGCCCACCTGATGGAAAGTGGTAACCGTCGCCTATAGATTATACGCCTATAGAGTATACTGTTTCGCCCATGATACCCCCCATGCGTTGCGATTCCTGAGGACTCAGGTGTTATTCCTCTGTACCCAGTAAATTCACGCCATATCCCACCCTTCAAACCGAAACACCGCCATACAAACACAACGGCTTCACGGTAGAAACACGAATGGGACAGAGGTACCCAAGCAATCGACTTTTGTACAGTTTCCCTCTGGTAAAGTCTCGAACTTTCGATGCTTATAGAAAAGTATTTTTTCGTTGTTTACGTGTAAGTATTTAATATTAATGGGGAATTGACCGAGCTGTAGGGGGTTCGTGAAGTGGGGTCAGTGACCGTAATTTGTCCGGTCTCCGCTAACTTACCCTTTAATAGTGAGAAATTAAATATTTATTAGAAATATACACAGGGTGTTTAATATACAATGTTTATAACATAAACTTAATACTTTTTTATAAAAGAATGGCGAATAAGCTAAAGACTCACGAAAGTGGCAATAATCGCCAATATGCATAACAGCATTCATGGCTTCGTGAACATCATAGAAGACACCGTTATGCTCAAGGCACCCTTAATGCATTTCCGTTAAAGGAAACTATGATTTTTTAATGGATAATAATGGATTGAACATCATATAAAAGTCGTTAGCCCATCGGCTAATGACCTGCTTCATTCTCACTTATCATCAAGATGGTACCCAGGGTGTATAGCCGATAGGAGGTCGACTTTCTCCAGATTCCATGATACTGTGTAAAATAAAAAAATCTGTATTCATGGCTGTCAATATCATAGAAGACACCGTTATTACAGAAATACCATTAAAGCCATGATTTTTTACATGGATGATTACAGCAGAAATAAAAGTAGGTTTGTTAGCCCAAGCAGAAAATTATAAAAATTTTTAAAATAACCAGGTCAAACCGCGTGTGGTCCCCCTGATAAGATATATTGCTGTAAATGATTAAATTAATTAATTAATAAAAAAACTAGTAAATGATTTAAATAATTGTTAAACCCCATTACTGATGCCCCACCAGTGTATATGGTGCAGTGCTACCATACCATTATCATTTTTAAAAAATCCCAGTGTCTAACAGAAATACAGTTATGCCTACACAGGCTAACTAACCTGCTTTTTTATTTTCATCTGTCATCCCTCACTGGTGCCCTCAAAACTATTGTGGTTAATTGATGTGTAATTAGTCACGATAAGCTAACATTCCATTATCATCCTTAAAAAAATAGTGTCTCAATTGGTAACTCGCCAGCTAAGAACTTGATAGCGCAGGCGGAGTATCCCTATCAGGTCGACCATTCCGATTTAACTCATCAAAAAATACAATAGTGTAACTACATTGAATGAATGAATGAATGGTTTATTTTCTCTTCTCAAAAGGTAGTATAAAATAACGACTTGAGGTACAATTTGATATGAAGACCAATTTTGTGAGAGACTGGTGCTTGCGGTAGGTTTTGAAGAAACATTGACGCTCCTTTCCACTTTGGGGAGAGTTAAGCTCGCCTTTGTACATTTACTTATCTCTGTCATGTTTTTATGTAGGTATTACCAGTGTACTATAAAGTATAAATAAATAATCTCGAATAGAAATGTCTTTGTAAATTATTAGGTACGTAAATTGCAGGTAAACAAAACACAACAAACATAATACAACGACACGAGTTATGAATACTGTGAACAAAAATTACACATTGAAATCGGTTCAGAATTTGTAAAGATCTCTGGTAACATACACTCACAGTCGCTCCAAAATCATATTCAAATCATATTCAGAAACTGGCAACTTATATTCGATTCGACGAAATTAGTTATCGTAATACAGTCAACGGTTATAAATCGATTAGCTTATTCGTTCGTTTGTCAATAAATCAAAAAGCATTCCGCACACCTTATAAGATTCAAATTCAATTAAAGCTACAATAAAACGAATTTTATCAGATAATTTCATACAGCTATTTTTCGATACGGTACAGTGCCCTTGTCCCTGTTATTTATTTTCAGTTTTTAGGATTCCGTGTTAAGATCTTAATACAAAATGGCAACACATGAAGGGTATCATGTACGACACAGTACACTCTGTCATGTCCATGGTACTGCTCATATCTATTGGCGACGGTTACCACTTTCCATCAGGTAGGGTCTTCAGCTTGTTTGTCATTTTAAATTGTATAAAAAATTCTACCAAAGTAGCCTGTTAGCTAGTACGTAATTTTTTTTTATATATAATTAATTATAAGAGGCAAACTAATTGTCGTCTCGCCTGATGAAATACGTAACTGTCGCTCAAAGATCTGAACAGTACCATAGACACTCAGAAATACGTTGTCTCACCATATTCTATGAAGGGTTACTACAATATCTTATTAATATAATAAAATTGTATATATTCATATAAAATAAGAAGAACAATAAAAATTTAATTCTTTAGGAATTTTGTCTGTTATATATATATATATATATATATATATATATAGACTACCGCCGCCCATGGTCACCCAAAACACCAACAGCATTTCAGGTGTGCTGCCGGCTTTTTAAAAGGTAATATGCTCTTTTCTTGAAGGTTATGTTGTCGTATCGGTTCAGAAATACTGCTGCTGGAAGTTGATTCCAAAGAGTGGTCATGCGTGGGAGAAAGTGCCTTGAAAAACGCACGGTAGAGGACCGCCACTCGTCCAGATGGTTGGGAAGAAATTTTAGTTTATGGCGGGTTGTACGATGGTGAAATGTTTTTTATATGCAAATACTATCATGATATTCCGCAAAAAATGTTGCACCAAATTGGATACGGTTTTCACAGTTGTAATCCTGAAGGTTTAATTTAATACACAAGGTATATGTTTGGTCTTAAAAATTTTGATACATCATTTTTCTACTTATGAAATTCACGCGTACACAGTTACGGACAAAAAGCTAGATAGGATGAAAAGTAAATTAAATATTAAGTTAATGTTTTTAATTTAATTATTTTTACTTAATATAGCATAAGAAATAATTCACGGAACCCTTTAACTTAAATAGTTCAATGCCACAGAGTTCAGTGTTCATCCGTATGATAAATGATAAAGGTATTGTATGTGCAAATTGCTACCAAGTCGCTATATTGATAAATCCATATGGGTTGTTACTGTATGAATAAACCACGCTGGGTACAGGTTTTTTTTTTCACGATTTAATGAATGAAACTTTATTGAAAATTTGCCAACTCCGGCTTATCACTTTTTTTTAATATAATACTATTATGTTACTAACTGGTAATGCAGCTTTCTATACCTTAAAAGATTTTTTTTAATTAATTCATTATAAACAATATCATCATCATCATATCACCTTTAACTGTCCACTGCTGAACATAAGCCTTCCCCTAGAGGGAAATTTGCCAGTAGTTGCCATGCATGGCAAGC